TTCATCTGAATTCCTCTTGACATATGGTTTTCATTGTCATGGGAAAGGATGTCTTCCAGTTTTCTATTTACGTCTGAGTTCTGGGAGTGAAGAACTCTAGGGCTTTTGTGTTTTAGTCCTATCCTCATGAGTTTTTGAAAATTACTTTTATTTATGTACATGCGTGTGCACCTGAATGAACGTATGTGAGCAGTGACCATGGAGGCTGGAAGAGGCCATCAGAGTCTCTGGAACTGAATTTACAAATGGTTGTGACTCTGGTCCTGGGAACTGAACCCAGGTCCTTTGCAAGGACAGCAAGTGCTCTTAGCCTTTGAGCCATCTCCCCAGCTCCTTCCTCTATGATGTTTTAGAAGTAGAAGAGCATACTTAGGAAGGTTCCTGAATTGTGTGAAATCATCTTTATCAAAAATCACCGCTCAGCCTTGTAGGACACAGTTCCATCCCATTTTCCTAGTGGAGTCTTATTCCTGGTGGTCACCTTGGTGGGTTGGCCCACATTAGGCAGGGTCTTTTTAATTTAATTTAATTTAATTTAATTTAATTTAATTTAATTTAATTTAATTTAATTTAATTTTAACTTCATTGTCTTACTGCTATCCAGAATTAGATGATTTAGAGAAATACACTCACGTGAAGCAAAAGATAGCCAAGAAGTCCTGGACTTGAAACTTCCATTTAAAGGAGAGCGATGGACGGTAGAACGTCTGTCCCCCTTATAGAGAGAAACAGCACCCAAGATGCATTCCTGGTGGTCCGTCAGAGCTTGTGAACCAGACAGCATGGGCATGCTATGCCATGCTGTGTTGAACTCTATTAGAATCTTGGGGCTGTGACATCTGTCCTTCAAGTTCTATGTGATGGTTTAATTCTCAGTTGTAGAGCAGGCTGGCATGAACAAATGTACTGGGATTATATCTGGAGTCCCATTCTTGGTAAACCATCTACAAATGATTTCTTTTCCTTGAGTGAAGCAGCAGCTCCCTCTCCATTCTTAGAGGCAGGAGCCACAGAACTTCCTCTGGCCAACTGTGAAGTGACATGAACAGAGCAAATGGGTAAAGTGGACCCAAGGCTCCAGGGCAGATGTTTGCATCTGTATCCTTACACAAAGAGGAACTTCCAGAACCACAAATACAAAACCTGGTGAAGGCTACTCTGGTCCTGTTAGTGTGGGGAGGGACTCCTGAGGGTCTCACATCTCTAGCCATGTAGTGAGACCCTAGGGGACTGTGCTCTTGAACAAACGCATATTTCTACTTGACCATCATATCTTCAATTTCTCATCTCTCCCATCTACCCTTGAAATGCCTTCTGGTCCCTGTGCTGTTATTGTTAACATTATTATATTCTGATATTTACCCTGGACTTTGATCTCCCCTTGTCCGTTAGTTTTCGTTCCTAAGACTCAAACTCAATTCCACCTCTTTAGAGCAAATAGATCTACCATGACCTTCTCTTCTCCATTTCTGCCTTCTTTTCCATGTGGAGACAGAGATCTTTGCATGGCTGTTTTCACCTTCTCACCTCCTGTCTCCTAGAGGAGAGGGATATGGCTAAGGTAAGAGGTTGTCTTCACCTTACCCAGATCCAGGTGACATACATGATATATTTAACTTTGGGAAAACATGAAAAGTTAAAGGATAAGATTAAAATCATGCATAGCTCTCGTCTTCCCACACAGCAGTGGCCATCACTTTGATGGATCTGCATCCTTGTGTTTTGAATGTGATGTATGATAATTGTGAGATCTGCTTGTCTCTATCATGAGTGTCTTGCTCTTGGTTAAACTACTGGTCCACACCACCATAGTTGGCTTTTCAAAGTGGCTTCTTGGGATCTAAACTCAGGTCCTCACACTTGGGGGATAAGAGCTAACTGTGCTATCTCTTCAGCCCTTGGGATCTTTTCATTGTTTGAGATTTTTATGCATATGTTATGTTTTAATTGAATCTTCTCCAACTACTCCAATGCCCTCCCCCTTCTCTATTGCCTCCCAACTTTATGTATTTAAAAAAAACTCCCACTGAGTCTGTGCAGTGCTTGCCAGTATGTGCATGAGTACAGGGCCATCCATCCACTGGAGCATAGACGAGTTATCAGGGGATGCCTTGCCAGAGAAAACTGACTGAGTCTAACTTCTTCATGTATTTCCAATTCTCTTATCTAGATTCCCTAAAGCCAATAATGATCATTTTCAAAGTTCGCTATGCTATTTCTAAGACTTAAGCTTGCTGCGTCGTCCCCAATGACTTTACAGGAACTCAAGCAGCTTTTACACCACTTTGACCCCTCACCCCCAATTCCCCTGAGCATGTCTTCCCCTCACCCTGTTCTCACCACACAATACTGCCATCCACAAATCTCTGTTGGTGCCTCATTGTTGATGAACTCTTCCCATTTGATTACAATGAGGCTGAATAATATTTGCGTTGACTAGAGAGACTGTATTCCCTGCAATGGATTTGGATTTCAGTCCTTGGCCCATTTTTCTAGCAGGTTCGGGATTATTGGAAGCAGGTGGGTGTTTGGGGGTAGACATTGATTGGTGCAGCTTTTTCTCCTTCCTGGCCTCTCTGATTTTGGTTAGTCTTTGGATGAGTTAAGCCTCTTTCTCTTTCCCATGGCTCTCTTAGAGCCCTCTCTTCTCAGCCCATCTCCAGGCCTCTGGGAGCTCCCTCCCAGTCTTTCTCTTGGAACTTCTATCTCTTCTTCCAAGTGTTTCTTTTATTTCTCACACCAGAATGTCTAGAGGATCAAGACACCCATACCACGTGTTATATGAGACATCATAAAAAGTGCCCAGATCCACATGGCCTGGATTGTCAGCTGACCTCAGACAAGGATTAGAGACTGATCCTGAAAAGCAAGTCAGGCCTGCCAGCTGCAAGGCTTCCCCAGCTTCCCGAGTTCTGGATTGGTGGAGTGGCCTCCAAAGCAAAAACACACCTTTTTCTTTGCAGGGCAATAAAGTTTCTCACTGCAAAGCAAATGAAATTGCTTCCTGACCATCTGCACTCCATTCAGCAGCAATTTGCTATATGGGAGGCATCTCGAGGATGTTGCAGGATTGATTTGTGGTTTCGCAGTAATGTATGTGAAGGACCAATTAATACTCTGAGCGGCTCTTTGAGACGCCTTGGGGGAGAAGTAAAAGAAGTGCTTAGAGCTTTAACCAGCCTGGGCTGCACACGCTGTGTGGGTTCTAGGAGAGTTCCCAAGATCTGTGGCTCAGGAGAGTTTGTGGCTGGCCTGGGAACATTGATCTTGGATAGAGGAGTCAAGGCCACAGAGCAATGGGGTCATAGGCACTGTATAGGTGAGTTGTGGCTCAACTCTGTGTGCTAGCTGTTTCTACACCCAAAGGTTACAAGAGGTGACAGGGAGGTTGTCCTGAAGCATTTGTGAAGGAGTCCTGATTCACTCAACTGACTCATCCCACAAATGTGTATATGATGACTATACTTCCGGTACATTGCCAGGTCCTAGATGTCCAGCCCTGGCCTCAGTGAGCCAATAGGGGCCAGGGAGGTCAATAAACGAGTCTTGTGATGATTTGGTTCAGAGTAGAAGGTGGTCCTAGAGCACATGAGCATATTACCCCAGCCTGGGCTTCATGGAACATCTGCCCCAAGGAAGGACTTATGAGCTGAGCCCTGGAAGGGGGCAGGGATAACTAGATGGAGTGGATCTGAGGAAGAGGGCTCCAGACAGAGGGTGGAGATGAAAACCAAAGGGCCCAGGGGAGGATCGGGGCCCTGGGTGGCCACTGTCACAATTGCAGAGGCCCAGGAGGAGGCAGTAGGGGCAGCCGAGGATGCAGTGGTCCACAGAGGAGAAGATACAGAGGAAGTGGGGTATTTAAGAAGAATGGTGATTTCTGTTCTGGAAAGGCTGCATTTATGGGTCATGTGGTCTGGTCGGTGGATTTATTCTGGAGCTTCGGATACAGGTCAGAGATAGGAGACATGAGGAAATGGGTCTCTGGCAGCAGAGATGAGCATTTTCAAGTGAGAAAAAGGATGAAGATGGAAGCCCCCTCAGGACAGAAGAGAATCCCTCGTGCCCACACAAGTGGGAGGTGCTGGGTGTTCTTGGGTCTCACACACAGCTTCAGGGTCTCAGGGAGAGCTGGGGCATGTAACTTTCAGGCCTTGTATGATTGGCTCAGAGCCAGGATCTTGTCTCCACTTGTGGCCATGATCTGGCTGATGCTCAATGCCAGCCAGAGTCCAGCAAGCTGGCTCAGCAAATGAAAGTACTTGCCATTCAAGCCTGAGGACCCGAGTTCAGAATGCATTGTGGGCAGAAAAAATCTGTACCCAGAGGTTGGCTTCTGATATCCACATGTGCCATAAAATGTTCATGCTTACACACACACACATACACACACACACACACACACACACACACACACAGAAACATACAGACACAAAAATTTTTACTCATTCATTCTTTTTTATTTACTTATTATCTATCTATCATTATCTATTATTATTATTATTATTATCTTCTATCTATCTATCTATCTATCTATCTATCTATCTATCTATCTATCATCTATCGACCGACCTACCTACCTACCTACCTACCTACCTACCTACCTACCTACCTACCTACCTACCTACCTACCTACCTATGAAATGTTAACTATTCCACTCATCATCAACCATGAAGACAGCCCAAGCCCAGAGGGTGACAATTTGTCACAGGACTGCTGTAGGCATAACATGCGGTCGTGCACGTTGCTACCACAGGGTGGCAGCACTGAGGCATGAGGCGGGCGCGGGGAGGGGATAGCGCTGAAAGGCAGAAATGTCTGCTGAGCTCTAGAGGATGAAAAGCAACAGGCGCAGGCACAATGATGCTGGTGAGCCAGATGGAACATGGTACACGGCGCACGGCAAAGACAGGAGGGTGGCAGAAAGGGATACCAGAGTCCGTGCGTCCAGGGAAGCCCTTTTACTGTGTGTAACCCACTTGTCCCCAAATCTCCACAGGCAAGATGTCCTTCGAGCGAGCCAGGCTCAGCATGAGGAGCCGCAGAAACGGCAATTTGGGCAGCACCCGGACCCTGTACTCCAGTGTGTCTCGGAGCATAGACGTGTCCTACAGTGACAGTGTAAGTCCACACTGAGGCCGCTTGATACAGTTAGGGTTGTTTGATGACCAACCTGCCATTTTTAAACAAGATAATTCCTTGTTGTGCCCTGGGTAGTTATTTGTTTTGTGAGCTATTTTTTTGTAGCATGTAGAAGCATGTTCATTGCTGTATTGTGTTTCAAGCCTTTCTTGTTTAAGATAACTATCATTTTAATAAGTCATTACGAATTTTAAAACACTATGTTTCTTTAATCTTTTTTTTTTCTGGTAAAATATGAGGATTTCCTATTTACACTGTATCATCTTCATCCCCTCTCTGTCCCCTCCTATTCCCCTCATGTTTCCCCCTCCTATGGAATTCATGACCTCTTCTTCTCTCTGGGTGTGTGTGAAATCTGCTGAGTCTAATCACCGTTGCCCTTATTTTCATGGATCACCCTCTCCTAGCAGCAGCTGGCTACTTGTAGCTCTTTGTCTAGAGGTGGGGCTTTATGAGATGTTTCTCCATCCATGTTGCCATGTCGATTAGTGTGGACTTTTCAGGTCTTGTGCAGGAAAGCCGTATTGTTGAGAGTTCACGGGAGCAACATCTCTGTCGTGTTCAGAAGACGTTATCAAGCAGCAGACATCCTGGTCCTCCAGTTCTTACAATCTTTTCACTCCCTCTTCTGTGGTGTACTTCACACTCTAGGTGTAGGAGATTGTAGACGCTCAATCTGGGGCTGGGCAGCCTGGAGTCATTTATTCTCTGCATCCTGGTCATGATGTTAGTGTTGACTCTGTACCCGCGATTGATGCTTTTCCTCTCATCCTGTGGGCTCAGGACTGAGCTGTGACACTTATTTCCTCGTCTGAAGTTGGTTGCTCATGCCTGTGGTTGTTTTCTGTGGCCCATCTCCCCTCATCCGGAGCGGGCGCTGGCATTGCTGGCAGGTTATGGCTTCTCATTGGAATCAGCTTAGTTGGACACCAGGAGGCTGTCTCACAAAAAGGAACAGCAAAAAAGCCTATGCCTTCCTCCAGCTGAGACCTACATTCCATGGCTGGAATTAAGGTCTCAAAACAGAAGGAAGTGTTTACCCCGGGAGCCGTTCCCAACCTTGCACAGCCCCTAGGACTAAGTGCCTCCTTAGGGTTCATCCCCATGTCTCACCCTAGTGCTGCTCCTTGACAGAGTAGACAAAGGCAATGGGAAGCTCTCCAGAGTTTGCAGACCTTGCTCTCCTTCTCCTCCTTTTTGATCCCAAACAACAAAGCACTGCTTGTAGGCTCTCTCCAGAGGATCACTAGCCTCAGGCCCTGTATCCCTGGCAGGGGGATGAAGCTGAGACATCTAGGCTCCACGGGTTTCTACTTGCCTCCAGAGCACACCTATGCCTCTTAGAAAGTGCGTCTTCAGAGGAAGATTTTTAGCAACAAATCATTAAAAAAAATCATCATCCTCCCTCACTCCATTCCACACCTCACACAGCTATTTAGTTCTGTCCCCCATATTATGAAGACTCCAGATCATCTAAGCAGATAAACATTCTTATGGGGAAAATGGGGCAGCATCAGAGTTTCAAATGCTTTTTATGCTGAGAAGCATGAGACCATGTTTATCCTAAATTTGTTGAGGAATACCCGTAGAAGAAATGTAGCTTCCAGAAGCTCTAACACAGTGACTACCCAGGAGCCACCTCCAGCCTGAGAAGCAGAGTGCTTCAAAGTCCCCATGTGACCCCCTCAGCCTCTCCTCCCCCGGAGAGTGTCTCCTCTCCTGCCGCAGGTCATCGGCACTGTCCTGTTGCTTGGTTTGTCTCTTATACAAGTGCAGCTCTGCTCTGCAAGCACCCTTTTGTGGGTTCCTTACTTTTTGCTTGACTACTGTTTTGGGGATTGGTCCATGCTGATGCACATAGCATCTGTGAATTTTTTGTTCTGCTATGTGGAACTCCACTATGGGTTTCTGTTAACGTAGTCTCAAAGAGAGGGTTACTTGGGTTTCTCGCTTTTGGTGTTGGAAGCAAGACTATCCTCTTGGATGTGTATATGGGATCTCTCAGGGAAAAAATGTCTTTTGAGTTGAAGACTAATAGTTGAAGGTGGAATGTCTCCATCAACCGATCTGGGCTAAAGCAATGAGACTTTTGAGATCACTCATATTCAAAGGGTGAGAAAGGAAGCCAAGGTTCTCAGTGCCTATTAACCAAGGGTGAGGTCACTCATGTTCAAAGGGTGAGGAAGGTGGCAAGGGTCCCCAGTGCCCCATACCAAAGAACTTGTTGGTGTGGGAGTTGGGATGGACTCCATCCAGGAGAGGAACCCCACCTTTTGTAGTGCATCTCTGGTGCTGGCCATGCTATAGAAAACAAGAAGTTAGGGCTGTCTTCAGAGCTAGGCTGTCTGGTGAGGCCAGCTTGCCTGGAAGTGGTCTGAGAACTTCAACTGCCAGCATCTGAGAGCCTGAAATGAATTGGGACTTCCAGGGAAGGGAAGCCCCTAGCAGCCCCATTTCATCTCCGAGGATGGGGCCCCACCTCCATGAATTGAGAGAGTGCAGGTGGCTCGTGGGAAACTGATCTTCTCTCCATGGGTCCTCAGAGAAATGGCTTCCTGTGCAGTACTGAGTAGTACCAGTTTACTCTTTCATCCATTGTGAGTGTGAGGTCCTTCACCTGCCCCTCATCTCCGGGGCTGTCAACTGTCATCTTAAGTTTTGTTGATCTGGTGGCTGTAAAACAGCTGTAAAACCTCTTCTCATGCTTGAGCTTTTCATCTGGTCATGGCTTTCCCATGGGCTCTGCCTCTGTCTCTTGATGGTTTCCCATTGGGTCATCTGCTTTGTTTTCACTGATTAACAGTCCTTTTGTATTCTGGTCACACTGTTTATGATACATAGCTATTGTAATTCTCCCGTTGTAAGGAATGCAAGTATTTTCAAAATAATGTTTTCAAATGTCTACTCTACCAACATAAGAGGCGTCTTTGGTTTATAAAGGCTTTGGCTGGTTGTTACAACTGGTTCCCAGTTGTGCCTAACCACCTTGCCCATAGTAGAATGAACACAAATGTAGGACACTTGGGAAAACACCTCCTTTTAAAAAAGCTACAGAAGAGGGATGAAAATATGCATGTATAGTTTTTCTAATTCCAAACTCTCATCTGGCACTTCTGTTTCCTGGTAACTGTAAAGACAAAAACATTGAGAGAGAGAGAGAGAGAGAGAGTATGTATATAGGTATGTGTGTACTTATGTATGTAAGAGAGAGAGAGAGATACAGATACAATTCATATATAAGACAACTCTATACAACTTTTGGAAACATTTTCATTTAGTTTTACAGTTTAAATTTATGTGTCCTTAAAAATAAACTCTGAGTACACGAAAAGCAAAAAGGATGCCATGACAACCTTTGAAGGAGGGCTAGGACATACATAGTTCTCAGCAGGACTGAGAACAAACAAGAACTGTAACTCCAGTTTTTTTTTTTCTTCTTCTTCTTAACAGGATTTGGTGAATTTTATTCAGGCAAATTTTAAGAAACGGGAATGTGTCTTCTTTACGAGAGACTCCAAGGCCATGTAAGCTACAGTTTTCCTCCACATTTGCTTCTGTGCTTCAGAGTACATGACCATAGACTGTTAGTGCATTGGGCAGATGCCCATGAGTTCGTTACTGGAGGTGGTTGCATCTCAATAGCCCTTGATAGCATGTGATTAGGAAGGATTTGACATGCCGGTGGTTGTTTCCCAGCGTTGACCCTCCCTGTTGTCTTTTAGCTTTGGCAATACAGCAGCTGGTAAAGTCACTGGGAGAGACTGTCACTCTTCTGTATTCCCATGAGTCCGGGAGTCCACCCTGTTCCACAGTGCTTTGCAGCAATGCTATATCCATGCTCCTTTGCTATCTGGATGTCCCTTCTTCTTAGCTGTGGTCCTTGTGACTTCTCTTCTAACTGGGTATTTCTCTACTCCAAGTTTGGGGGATCATCTGGCTACAAAAGAGCCCCACAAACCCAACACTTAGGGGTGGGTTAATAATGTTAATGAGCAGGTAAGAAAATGGATGGATTTGATCCTGTGTGATACAAGACAAGGGACTCAAATGAAGTTGTTGCTTTTTAAACAACATCTCAATATTTGGATTTTACCAGTGAAGATTCAGGAGCCAGATATTGGAGTGAAAACCTGCTAGCTCAGAAAGACAGAAAAAGCACCCAGCTTACCTTCCTACTCAGCTCACATCTCAGAAGGAAAAAAGCCTTTCTCCTTCTTTATGGTGTCTTAAATACTTTTCTGTTTACTCCCTGTTGGCTGGTCGCTTGCTCCACCTCTTGACCTATGGTTGATTTTATTTAGCTCTCGAATTAAAAGTGTGTGCTAGGGCTGAGCCACGCCACAATAAGAAGCAGGTTTTCCCAGTTCACAATCTCAGGGTTCACAATATGATCAAATATCCTGCAACATGAAGTGGCAAGAAATAGTGACACCCCTATTTTGTTATTACTTGACAACCTGGATGATATAGGCCAAATATCATTGCTGAAATTCTGGGGTTGCTACATTTGTGCTAATCCCAGATGACCCTTCCACTTCTATCCCTAGCGGATGTCTGTTTTTTGAGTGGTCCCTGGAGGAGGATCCTGGGACTTCTTGCCTGCTGGGCACCTTTGTGACATTGAGTAGCCCAGCAGCTACCTGCTAACACTCTTAAAGTGGGAAACCCACAGAGCTGTTCTGGCTTGTCCTGCTCTCACTGCCTTGTCCAAGTTGAGTCCTATGTAGAAACAGTAAGTACACTGTCTGTAGTCGTAGCTCTTTGTTATAAAACGTTCTGCATTATAAGTGTTGTCAAAATATGGAGGTGACATATGACTACTGATCTTTTGAAATGTGGTGTTACCAATGAACTGAATTACCAACTGTAGTTATTCTTCATTAAACTACAAAACCAAGTAGCCAGGCATGGTTTGTGGCCACACTAAAAACAATCTGAGAGATTCGGAACTTTTGTTCTGCGGATGTGAACCAGAAGCCAGTGCCTCCCGTCCTGTCCCGCTCTGCTCTGTGCTATCCTTGCTCCTCCACATGTTTATACTCCCAGTTCTTTTCCGGTAAGCCCCGTTTCCTGTTTCTAAAGAACTAAGGCATATTGGTTCTTGGAGAGCTGCTAGCCCATAAAGGAGTCAGACAACTTTCTTGGTCAAAAGGTCATTTATGGCACACCCTTATTCTTAGCAGGGAAAAAGGATCAAGAGTACGTTTTCAGTTGTAGCAAGGACAAGTGGGGCATCTGCTGCCCTTCCAGGAGCTTGGATGGCTGTGGACTTGTGCCACAGGAGGATGGGATGGCAGGCAGCAGCAGCAGAGCAGAGCAGCCTTGTCTCAGGAGTCCCCTGGGTCTTAGTAAGAGAGAGGGCTGCAGAGAGGGCTCAGTCCCAGCAGACTCTTTCTTCTCAGCTAAGCTGAGTGAAGCTCCCTAGGGGCTGTGCAAATGGAGGCAAGGATCCAGCAGAGGCCTGCAGGAGGTGGCAACAGCAACAGTTTCAGAGTAGCTGCTGGTGAGGACTCCTCATGTATGCCTTTGTTCCTCAGGATAGTCTCTCCCTTGAGTGGCTTTGGTGGCTAGCCTGGCCTCCATACTGCTATTACCAGAGAATCCCTGGGCTTCCTGGCAGTAGGAATGGGCAGGTTTGGTTTGGCCACACATCATCTACTGCTGGAGTGGCCATGACACTCACCACCAAGCTGTGAACTTCCTCTGTTGAGCACTTAGGAGGAGTCACAGAAACACATCTTACTCTTGTTACCTCATAAATGAAAATATGAACTTCTGCCAGATAGCAGTCTCAGGGCTCGCCCTACGTTTCGTTATATGGTGCATCCCCTGGTCCATGGCAGCGGTGTGTATGCATCTTTGTATCTTGGAAGGAAAACCAAATGATCTGCTTTACACAAATCATTGAGAATGGTTGCAGATATAGGTCATTTGCGAGAAGACCGATCAACATCACTCCTATTTGCTCATCCACTCACATGGTGTCTGCTCGTTGCCATTATATTTTTGTACAGAGAATATAAAGTAAAGAATCCATCCAGAAACAATCTTAATAAGATCTTCTCAGTTGCCGTATCTTTATTCGGCTCATGCTGTTGTGAGACTCTTTGCTCCTGAATCACCTTGTACAGTTGACTGACTGTGGAGGGCATTGGGATGTTGAAGTGAGTGGATCTTTTACACTACTCCCATTCACTGGAGGTGGTTCATATCTCGGGTCACAGAATTCGTCGTGAGAAAGGAGACATTGGTAACAGTGGGAGGCGTTGCTCTTCCTGGTCTTGGGCGAGAATATAAAATATGGCATCGGACTTTTGGTCAGCCGTGATGATGGCGGATGACATTGTTGGCTCCATTGTTCCCTTGCTCTGTTCTTCTGGGCTGCTGTACTGGTCACACATGGACTGTGTCTGTAGATACTTTTACTGCACCTTTGCTTCTTTCTGGTTGTTAGCCCTTTGGTGTCCCTTGACTTGCACGCATGCACCACCCTGAACTGAAGGTCTCCTTGGCAGAGCATGCGGTGTACACCAGACCAACTTGATGCTTTGTGTCATTTACAGACCTCACAGCAAGCCTGGAAGGCAAGGGACTGTGCCAGGGCAAAAGGAGTCATTTGGTTGACTCCTCTCTGCGCTTTGCCAGTTTTGTACTTAGCCACTCCCAGGAGATGCCGAGCAACTGGAGGACAGGAAATCATGTCTGTCCCAGCCTGGCATGTTGCAGATTTATTTTATCATTAGCAGTGTTCTCAGAAATGTGTTGAGCAGCTGCAGAGTGTTATGGAAGGAACAGAGGAAAGGCTTTACCACTTTAGCGTGCTCTTTTTAATCCTCTTTCTGCCTCCTGTCATGCCTTGTGTCACATCTTGGACAGCTAATGTTGAATTCCGCTGAACTTTCAGCGGGAGGAGCTAGCACTCACTACTGCACTTTTCCTGATCTAGTCCAAACCATTATTAACCCAAAGTCCCTCAAGCAGCTAATATCTGGTAGAGAAGATATCTGAAGAACTTTGGGCTGTGCAAGGGGACAATGCCTCCCCCAGCGAGGACAGCTCCCGGGAAGAAAAGCTTATCTGCCTCCAGAAAGAGCATCACTTACTGGGCATCTGGGGAGGCTGGCACTAAAGCACCAACGCCTGCATGCTCCTGGGCTCCTGTGAGTTAGCTCGAACCTGTGTGAGGAGCTGAGTAAATGGTGCCCATGAGGGCAGGGCCCTGTTCTCCACCTCTCAGCTCCCAGCACAGGGCAAGCTCATTGGCACACAGATAATTAGCAATGGGAACAAAATACCAAACTAGTTTCTAGACAGCCAACCACGATGAGTGAAATAGTCTGGGACTAAGAGGAGATGGTAGAATTTCGTCTTGTTTGACTGAAGTTAATAGTGCATAGTTCATCCTAAGATGTGCTGAGCCATTTAAGCAGATGGATTCTGTTGCTTCCTACGAACGTGGTCTGTTCAGGGAGAGTGTATGCCAGTGTGGCTATGCCCAGAGCCAGCACATTGAAGGCACCCAGATCAACGAAAATGAGAAGTGGAACTATAAGAAACACACCAAGGAGTTGCCCACAGATGCCTTTGGTGATATCCAGTTTGAGACTCTGGGCAAGAAAGGCAAGGTAAGCAACTGTCTTCTTTAATGTATGTGCTAAGGACTTGGGCTGCCTAAGATACCTTGGGTTGAGGTGGGGAGATAGGTAATAACTCCCAACAATCATCATCAGAAGAAGGCAACTTGTGAAAGTCAAAAGACAGTGACTAGATTGTCTCAGTCAGAAAACTCAGCAGTTGGGGATGGGGTCATGACTGGAGCGACAGTCTAGACATGCCGTGACCCCCATGACATCTGCCGAGCCTAACCGTTGGAGGACGGCAGAGCACTTTCGTTAGCGGTCCCTTTATTTTGGGATAGCGTTTCTAAGGATATACCGTAGCTTCAACTAGGGTGAACTTTCTCCACATCCGTGAGTGTTACAGGGTCTTTCCATTAGAAGCTGGTCTTCCCCTAGTGTGTCCATGCTCTCTGTTTCAGTGACAGCCCAGTCCACAGGCTAGGTGTTCAGACCTTCACCCCATGTATCCCCAAGCTCTGTCTTGGCAGTTCCTGAACACACCCAGCTCCACCGACTGTCTGGGGCTCTGTCCCAGGATCAGTCAGTGAGTCTCCCCTGCCTATCTCCTCCTTGGCCTATCCTGGTGTGTCAGGATGGTGGTTTGAAGACCCTTTAATTATCTCTTGCCTACACTGCTTTCAGTACCTTAAAGATTCTCCATCTGGCTTGGCGAACCATTCAGGGTCATCCTTCCCTCCCCTCATCTCTCCCTCCCACTTTTCTATGAGGCTCTGGCAGCAGCCCCATCCCACAGAACAGGACACCCAGTTCTGTGCCCAGGAGCAGAGCACACAATTCTAGTACTTTTATCCTGTCCCACAGTATATCCGCTTATCCTGCGACACGGACTCCGAAACCCTCTATGAACTGCTGACCCAGCATTGGCACCTCAAAACACCCAACCTGGTCATTTCAGTGACTGGTGGCGCCAAAAACTTCGCTTTGAAGCCACGCATGCGCAAGATCTTCAGCCGGCTGATTTACATTGCACAGTCTAAAGGTACGCAGGCATGTGCTCCATTTTGGGTGCAGGGGACAAAGTTTCCACATGTCTTTTCCCACTGAATCCAAATGCTCCCAGAGCTATGTGTGTCTATGTGGGTTAGGTCCATGTGAGTGCAGGTACCTGTAGATACTGGAAAAGGGTGTTGCTTCCTTCTGAACCTGGAGATACAGGCAGTTGTGAATTGCCGTGTGGGTTCTGGGTATTGGACCCAAGTCCTCAGCAAGACCAGTACGAACTCACAATGGCTGAGCCATCTCTTCAGCACCGAGAAATGTAGTTGTTGTTTTATTATAAATACAATTCTCAGATGGGTGGGAAGACAAAATGCTCTGGCTGACAGGTTCACAGAATAACTCTCACTCGGGGTTTTAATCAAGCGTTGCCTTGATTAAAAAAAAAAAATCTCCCAGTATGCCTACTTAATTATTCACATACGTAAACATTTACCCAGAAGATCCTAGTAAATTATGGAGTATGTTTTAATTAGATTTATCTTTAATCTTGGAGGTCATTGACGTGGTTTTGGAAGCAGAGGCTGCAGGATGGGCTGTGAACACTGTGTAGGTGTGTGACCAGATGATGGTGGATTTGACTTCAGATAATTGGCTTAGAGTATTCTCTCCTTCTACTTTATTTTAAAAGCTTTCAAGCCTCATAGAAATGTTTCCAGAGTAACACGATGAACATATGTACACACTTCTAGATTTACTGATGACCAGCACTCCTTATAGTTGTCTTCTATTGTTTTATGGAAATTCCTGTACTAGGGTTTGGGACAAAACAATCTGAGAGTAGACTACAGACATCATGAGTCTTAGCCCCCCAAGTTCACTGGCATGCACCTCCCCTAAAGGAGGGATGTCCTCTTACGTATACTTAGATATATTTCAGTGCAATTTTCCAACCTAGCATGGCTTACACTATCATCTAATAGTCTACTGTGCCTCTTTAATAATGAGCCTTCTAAGCAAGAAAATTATTTTCCATTTGGATTGCAAATTCCCTCAACTTTTTATATCTTTCTGGTTTTCTTACATGGGCATTAGTGCTTAGCCTTTGCCTGTCATCACACTTCAATGAGCACAGATCAATAGCTTTTCAGATTGTATCTCAACAGGTTTGACTGATGTTTTTCTCATAAGTGAGCTCAGATTATCTCAATTTAACATTCTCAGGGCTTCTTTTGCAAAGATGCATTGAGTGACAGAACTGAGGAAACACGCTTTATCTTAGATATGAATTTTCTAGTGTATGTGCAGGGTTGTTGTAGGCCCTGGGAATGTCGTAGAAGAAAATACTCAAAGTACCCAGCATTGGGGCCAACAAGATGGCTCAGAATATACAGGCACTTACGGCTCATCTGCATGTAGCTTAGCAACATAGATTCTATTAGTTTAGCCAGAGCAAAGAAAGAAACACAAGTCCTTGTAATTGGTCATGTCCAGGTAGCTTCTTTTAGGAAGAAATACTGAGAACTGGCTGAAGGAACGGGGTAAGAATCTTCTAAGGGCCACAACACACCTAAGCATTGTCAGGTCTTTGCTATGAGAGCTGTTCAATGATCTAGTTCTTCATCGTCAAAGACAGCAGTAGAATTAGGCAATGGAGAAAGACATCAAGTTTCTAACCGCTAGAGGGGAGGGCTGCCCCGGGACTCAGAAGATTTCCACTGCTAGAGATGAGAAAGAGAAAATAGCGACTTCTCTCAGGACGGAGACTGCCCTAAGGATGGAGTGTTCTCGGAGTGTGAACTTGGAGTGTGAAGATGGAGATTCTTGTATAGGTGGGGCCTACCCTAAGGATGGCTACTTTCCTCAAGGTGGGGATTGTCCTAAGGATGGAGACTGCCTTAAAGCTAGGGACTGCCCTAAAGATGGAGAGTGTCTTTCAGGTGGAGACTGCACTAAGGATGCAGAGTGCCTTTAGAGTGGGCACTGGCCAGGTCACAAGTCACACTGTAGTCACTTCCAATACACTAAACTCTGTTCCTGTTGTTTTGGTGCTGGGCATTGAATGTATGCTCTGGCATGTGCTAGTTGAACACTATCTCTGAGCCACAGCCCAAACCTGTAGGTATTCTGTTTCCTCTGTTTTGCTTTAAAACTCCGTGAAATGATTGGCATTGAGAAGATCATCAAACATAAACTTTGAGTGTGCAAAGTTATGTAAAATATGCATGTTATGTAAAATTTCTGGGACTAGGAGGGTCTACTCTGTTCTGACCAGCATGAGGGCTGGAGGGAGAAAACACTGCTGTCTGCGGATGCGCTGAGCCTAGCTCTTGTACAGGCTCGTGCCAGGCACTCAGTGTTCAGGAAAGCACTCTTCTGTTTGAGGATATAGATCTAGAATGTGGCCCAGAACCTATCCTCTTTGTTCAGCACCTCTCAGGAGCCCTTGCTGACATGAGATTTTCTTCCTGTTTGCCTGATGGTCCAGTCCCACAGTCTGGCTCCCAGTACAGCATCCTGGAGCTCATGGTGGGAAGGTTTTCTCAGAGTCTGGAAACACAAGCACACCTTATTCAGCATCAGCTGAAGTTCCGTCCCTCCTTCCCCACCCACAGGTGCTTGGATTCTTACTGGAGGCACTCATTATGGTCTGATGAAGTACATAGGTGAGGTGGTGAGAGATAACACCATCAGCAGGAATTCAGAAGAGAACATCGTGGCCATTGGCATAGCAGCATGGGGCATGGTCTCCAACAGGGACACCCTCATCAGGAACTGCAATGATGAGGTATGAGTGGAGCAGGGAGGTCTGCAAGGTCCTGTGGGAAAAAGACCAGGGCGATGGCTACGGCAGCGGTTCTCAGCCTTCCTACAGCTGTGACCCTTTAATAGAGTTCCTCATGTTGGGGTGGCCCCCGGCCAGAAAACTGTGTTGCTACTTAATAACTGCAATGTTGTTGCTGTTAGGAATTGTAATGTAAATACCTGATAAGCACCATTTATGATATGTGACCCCTGGGAAAGTGCATTTGACCCCCAAAGGGGTTGTGACACACGGGGTTGAGAAGTACTGGGCTATCGCCTGAGTGCTGGGGCTCTGTGATGGAGTCCGACCGTGGGAGCGCCTGACCTATGAGAATAGCTTTTTACCTTGGCAATTTAAAAACAAGGGGGTGAGGGCTACTTAAGGGACTCCAAAGCATGAGCAACAATGGAGGTATTTTGTAGTTAAAATCTGTCCCCAGACAGCTCATGTTAGATTTGGGCCCTTGTTCTTAAAACCATGATCCAAATCCATCTCAAAAGAGTTCACCTGTGAGCACAGTCCTGCATTGCTGTGCCACATTCCTGGGAATTCAAATCCATTGTTCTTCCTCCACTTAACCCAACGTGAAGAAGGCTGTGAGATCTACACCGCCACATGTTTCTTGAGAACTGATTTAGAGAGGAGCAGCCCCCCTCAAATCATGCACAGAACGTACTGAGGACATAGGATGGCTACTGTCCTGTGTGTCAAATGTGAGGTTTTGGAAACAGTAAGAAACTCCCCAAGTCCTACTCAGAAGATTTGAGCTCTATGTTCAGGAATTGAAATTTAATGCACATCTTCTTCCATGTGTGGCTCACTAGACATTTAGATGGTAAATGTTATGAGGGCTGTGATTTTACAAAAACGTTTCACGTTCTTGTCTCTGTATCCATTTTTGAGACTTATAAGGGACCTAGGAGTCAAATCTGTATTCATCCCACAAACTATTTACAAATGTGTCAGGAGTATAAAAACTGTTCCTAGGAAAGTCCCAACAATTAATTAATAACTTCATCCCTAGAAAAGTTAATATTATGGCAAATATGTTCACTAAAACATTTCTGTAATAACCACAAAATTGACATGAACTTAATTATTCAGCAATACTTGTGACTAGGTATTTATTATTAGATATTATAATCTAGTAATATTTATTACTAAAGAGGGAAGTCCAAACAGATTACCATACAAATATGAAGAATAACCATGATGGTAGGAAAATATTACTCCTGAAGATGTTTTGTCAGCATGGAAATGCCTATAATTATAAGTGTGAAATTATGAAACACACACATGTGCCTAGAAAATAACTAAATGCCCATTAAATATTGATGACAACATCTCATGGCTCTTAGAATTAAGTGCAATTTACATTTTCATCTTACGTTCAACAGTCTTCATTCCTACAGAAAACATAGTTTTCAGAGGTTTAAATTACACTGCTAGTTTTTATTCCTTTTTTTGTTTCTGACGGCAATCTTTTTTTTTTTTTAAATTTACTTATTTATTGTGTATGCAATATCTGCATGTGTGCCTGCAGGCCAGAAGAGGGCACCAGATCTCACTATAGATGGTTGTGAGCCACCATGTGGTTGCTGGGAATTGAACTCAGGACTTCTGGGAAAGCAGACAGTGCTCTTAACCTCTGAGCCATCTCTCCAGCCCCTGACGGCACTCTGTAGTGACAATGTCATTTTGCAGCAAATTCTTATGATATTGTGGCTGGCTTTCTGGTATGTCTTGTATTTCCCTGAGTGACAGTGTTTGCTTTTCTGTACGAAACAAACTGTTCATAATAATCTTGTTGGCCACATCTTCTGATATGGCCTCGCTGGGCTCCTTGTATCATTCACTGCTGTTGGATGGGTAGAATAGAATGGAGGTTCTGCCAAAGTGAAACAAGGCCACTGTCTGAAACACTTAGGCTATATTGCACTTTAGATTCGATTCTGATAATTTTTTTCCATCATCTGTTGTTTTTTTAAACTCTTTAATCAGCACTCTATTTTTGAGTCATGAGAGCATCCTACATGTATGGCAAAGACAGCATTTTTAAGTTTTCAGTTTGTCACTGTATAATATTATATTTAAACTCTGGTGTTTTTTTGTCAGGGACAGTCACAGAGGAGGCACATAACCAACATTCCCTAGCTTCAGCAGGGTCATAATAATGCCACCCGGCATCTCAAAGACAAGTCTTCCTGTGCCTTTCAGGGATATTTTTCAGCCCAATATATCATGGATGACTTCAAGAGAGACCCTCTGTACATCCTGGACAACAATCACACCCACCTCCTGCTTGTGGACAACGGATGTCACGGACACCCCACAGTGGAAGCCAAGCTCAGGAATCAGCTGGAAAAGTACATCTCTGAGCGCACCAGTCAAGGTCAGCAATGGGGACCCAAAGGCCAGCCATGAACTATTGGCGGTGTCAACTGGTGCCAACTGGTGCCCTCAACTCAGTGTCTTCACTGCTGAAGAGGAGCTAATGTTTCTCTTTTTTTCTTCAGTATCCTCTGAAGAAACCCTGTCTTTATCAGGGTCACTGACTTGTGGCCTTTGGGATGCTGAGGGCAATGACAGATAGCCTCTTACACTCTGGATTATCACTGTAAGGCTTTTCTTCTATTGGCATTTGGAACAAATGAAGCCCTTAATAGGAAAAAAAATGTAGTTAAGAAGCAATGCAGTTAGGTAGGGGTGAGTAGGGAGCCAACCTACTAGCGTCACAGCTGAAAGGCTATTTGGTGTTTTAAGTTTGGCTTCGTCTATGGACTGTCAGGACAGAATCACCTAAAATGTTGGTTTTGTAGAAACTGAATGCAAGACGTTTTCTGAGAGGCCACAGGGGTCTTCCCTTCCTGTGGACAGTGGAGCGCTGAGGCTGTCCTGCTCTGGCGAGGGGTTGCCCTGTGGCAAGGCTGACTCACATGACTTCCTCAATTGTTTTCCCTTCAACTAAGATGTAGCCAAGGAAGCTATTTATAGATGCACCAAGCTCCATTGAGAGAATGCCTCATTATGCAAATTTGTCACCCACTTAAGAAAACATAGGATTATACAAATTAGGGAGAGAATAAGAACAAATTTCAACCAGGTCTAATCAAATCCACAAATGTTAATGAGGCACCCACTTTAGCATTTTGAAAAGCAGTGACAAATGGCAATACTACCCGTATGACACTGTTGATGGTCTGGCTCACAGCGGTCCCTTCCTGTGATCTAGCAGTTCAAGAGCAAGGTCAAATCCAAGCAGTTATTACCCATACCATGAGCTCACAGAGCAGCGGCTCCTCTCACCTCCTGCCACACCCAATTCTCAAGTTGGAGTCCAAAACACACTTTATTCTTTGTTTTACAGATTCCAACTATGGTGGTAAGATCCCCATCGTGTGTTTTGCTCAAGGAGGTGGAAGAGAGACTTTGAAAGTGAGTTCTGGCTTGGTTTTCAGAAAGGCTGGTCTACAGGCTAACTTAATAGATGCAGCCCTCTCCCCCCAAGTCTTTTGGGTTTATCTGATCTTTTAAAACTACGTATCCAGTTAGTGTATAAAGTGGGTCATACTGCAACCTTTTCATACATGGACATCCTGTGCTTTTCTCATGTTCAGTACACTGCCCTCACTCCCCTTCTTTAGTCTCTTCTCCCACACACTCCCTTCTCCCTTCATGGCATGCATGTGTGTGTGTGTGTGTGTGTGTGTGTGCATGTGTGCACTTTGTGTGTGTGTGTGAAGTCTAGATTCTTCATACAAGAGGAAATATGATGCTTGTCTTGTCTTACTCAACATTATTCTCTATAGTTCCACCCATTTCCCTACACATGACAAGGCTTCATTCTTCTTTACGGCTTACTAAAACTCCTGCAATTTTGTATATTGTTTCTTTGTGGTCTTGGCATTTTAGCTATATTATGTAGTGGAGATATTTTTCCTGGTCATATTTAAGTTTTAAGTTTTAAAACACTTCTTGTGTTTGGATGTTCCTTCCATTCCCCAGTTTAATTTTTTTTTTCTATAATTTCCCTGGATAGCTTTTCTGTGTTTTAAGCTTTAATTGCATTTCCTTCTTCTTCCTGACAGAGCCAAAGATTTGTTCTCTTTATGATGTCCCAAATTCATGGAACTTTCTTGACTTTGTCTTCTATACACCCTAAATTCTTTACTGAAGCAAGTAGGAAATATTTTCCTGCCGTGTGCTGTCCTTTGAATAGACACAGGTTGCTCCTCAGCTGAGAAGCTTAGGGAGGTGCATTCAGAACAGCATAAATAACTTCTGGGGATTCTGAACTGCATGAGCAGGAACGTCACAACTAAGTGATATTGCTGGCATGGCTGCTGCATGGTTCTGCACCTGTGACACTGAGTATCTGGTCAAAAACCTCATCCTCCAGCCATATCATGGGTTCTGATGTTACGGCCTGGATTCAGGCCTCTGGCTCTTGAGAAATAGCGCAATCGCTGGATGCATCGCCTTCCAGAGTTCTTTTCTTTTATTTTTTTTGTTGTTGTTATAGGAATAACATCTCATAAAAAGTACTGTTCAGTTTCTCTCTTAATTATTTCTATGCCCACCCCCTCTTTCCTGGTTTCAGTTTAAAACTGGGATGAAAATAAAAAGGCCTGCACATAGTCACATACTGTGCCCCAGTGACCAGAGCGCATGACTAGAGTTCCCAGTCCTTGCTGGCAAAATTACCTGAAATCGTAGACGAATACTCACTGCCTGTTCTTTTATGGAACAATGACCTTTCACTTATTCATTCAACAGATATTTATGAGATATTATGAGAGCTGCTATTGAGACCTGCTGTTGAAAAAAAAAATAGCCATTCAGGAGCTTTTCAAAGAAAAATGTTTTAAAAGAAATGTCAGAGAACAATAAAATTGACCATTTTTTTTCCAGTGTGAAATGATCACCAGAAAAATGCTGAAAAGGCAGTCATATAAAGAGGAGCTGCAGGACTGCAGAATGCTTGGGGCCTCTGAGCATTCTGCAGTCTCTCATTCTCTGTGCTTGTACAGTTGTGTGTAAATCATCATCTACTCCAAAAAGAGTTTCTCCATGTGTGTCTTTCTGGGTCTGTGTTACCTTACTCTGGATGATCTTTTCTAGTTCCACCCTTGCCAGCAAATGTCATGATTTCCTTGTTTTTAATTATACTCACTGATAAGCGGATTTTAGTCATATAATACAGGAGAGACATACTACAATGCACAGACCCCAAGAAGATAAGTCCAATGGACATCTTAGGCTTCCTGTCGGCCCACTAGTTAGGGGAGTGGGGGATATCTCTGACATGGACTATGTTGCCTTCTTGTTCATCACTTCCCTCTGATGGAACTTCCCTACAAGGCCACAGGGGAGGAAGACAAACTCAGTCCTCATGTGAATAGGGGGCTCCCCTATTCTGAGGAATAGGGGGGAGGGGAGACGAGAAGGAGGATGGGACTGGGAGGAGAAGAGGGATGGGCCTATGACTGAGATGTAAATTGAATTAACTAATTTTTAAAAAGCCTCTCTGATAAGGTTTGACTGATGCACTAATCTATGGGTATAGGAATAAGTCACTAAGAGTCAGTTTAATACTATGCCCATTTAGCAGAGTGACATTCATAGATTCTCCTCCAGGGCCTGTGTGTCTCATCACAGGGTCCTGACCCCATTGACAGTTCTGGGTGTGGGCTTTATCTTGTGAAGTAGACCCTCAATCCAATCAGGAAGTGATTGGTTGGTCCCGTGACGTTCAGGCCTCTGTTGTGCTGGTGGGCATGTCTTGCTAGGCTAGCTGCCACTGTGGCTCACGGGATCCACAGCTGGGAAAGACTGAGGTGTGTTTAGCACTTTCCTGCACTATGAATGCTCTCAGCAGAGATAAGGCTTCCAGGTCAGTATTAGCTTGATTTCTTTATGTTCCATGACTAGTGTGGGTGGGGTCTTTAGCAATAGACTCTTACTGTCAAGTACAGTACTCTGTAGTGTTTGGGGATCTGTGAAACCTCACTGGCCAAGAACTCTCCCAAAAGTAACCCATTCCTGGCCCTGTGGTGTCTTGTGGTATTAATTAGCCTGTGGTATCTTGTAGGACCTTTGTTCCCCATTTATTGATCAGATACAGAAAAAGGGAATTAACTGGGAAGAGCTGATGGAATGGAGAAACCATGATCAAAATGTATTGTATGAAATTCTCAAAGAACTAAAATAAATGATAAAAACATAAAGAGAAGACAGAGTGATGGCAAATAAAAGAGGGATGGTGGATAAGAGGGATGGAGAGAGATGAATTGGGAGATGGTTGCATGCCTTCTCTTTCTCTGAAATTGAAGAATTGACAAAAAGATTCCTTGCCCTGGGGAGGAAAGAAAGGTGAGAGAACTGTTGCTGCAACTTAAGAGAGAGAGAGAGAGAGAGAGAGAGAGAGAGAGAGAGAGAGAGTGTGTCTCTACAGTGTTATCCACAAAGATCTCCTCAGCTTGTATCCATCCCTTGGAGGTGGGGTCAGAGGATCAGGACACGAACATTGAATGAGTGTTTCTGGGGCTTCCTGACCCCACATCTTTTAACTGCCACCCAGAACTTGCCCTTATCTTCATCTTGTGTGTGGACTCTGAGGCACGTGGGCGGACTTCTGGCCTGTTTCCTCAGACTTATTGTAGCTCCATGCTCTGGGCCTGTGGGGCTGTGTCTTCTCTACAGAAAGTACTTACTCTGCAAAGGAAACTTGAAGGTTTTTCTGTGCCTGTGTATAGATTAACCCCTTGATCTTGAAGTCAGGTGATGAGACGTCTGAGTCTCCTTTTCCAACCTCTGTAGTTCTTGCAAAGAACATATTGGGGAGGAATGTTTATCCAGAAAATTTCTCTTTCTCTTTCTTGCAATAAGTGAAAGGGGGCATGAAGAAGTCAATACATAAAACACATGGCTAATTTCTTTTAAAGTATTTTTCAGGCATTTAGAACTTCTTTTAGATAAGTTTGTGTTGAATCAAATGGTTGTCATTTAAGTGCTGCACCAGTGTTTAGAGTGGTCAATTTTGTGTATAGGGATATTTACAATGTACCTCTTTAAGAAAGACATAAACTATTACAGGTATCCTATTTATGGAATCTGTCATTTTCTCAGGATGCCAAGGGACTGGCTCCCTTTTCCCAGTCATAAACCCTCTGCAGTTGGTTTGATTTTGATTTGAAATGAAGAACCACCAAAGCATCTTGTCACCCCACTGATTTAGAACCTCGGGCCTGAGCTTGATGGTGTTGAGGTCCCTCCTCTCTGTCCAACCTTTATTCCTCTCCTAGGCCATCAACACCTCCATCAAAAGCAAGATCCCCTGTGTGGTGGTGGAAGGCTCGGGGCAGATTGCTGATGTGATTGCCAGCCTGGTGGAGGTGGAGGATGTTTTGACCTCTTCCATGGTCAAAGAGAAGCTGGTGCGATTTTTACCACGCACTGTGTCCCGGCTACCTGAAGAGGAGATTGAGAGCTGGATCAAGTCGGTGAGTTTGGGGGAAGATGCCGGAGGCTGGGTATGAGGAAGGCAGGTCCCTGGGATGGGATGATGTCTTGTGTTCTTGATTCTACCAGCAATGGCTAGTGTTTGTTTTTTCTTCATGACTTCGTGACTCTGGTCTGTAGCAGGTATCTTGCTGGAAAATGAAATTTGGATTAAGATAAGTGACTCTCCAATTAACTGTTTTTAATAGATATGGCACAGGGTTTAATCTCAACTCCTTTGCAAAGCTTGTCTTTCTCTCCTGCCACAATGCCAACACGTGTGCTTCCGTGTTTGGTATGCATCACAGGTAGGAAGGAAGTCCCTGGCAGTGATATATCTGAGAAATGCAGACTCTATCCAGAGTCTATATCTACTGAAGTCATCACTGTGGAAGAGCTGCCATCTACACCCTGGCCTATGGTTGCTTTGGAATCTCTCCTCTTTCCTTACAGACTTGTGAGAAAAGTTGACATACAGGAACACTTAAGCTTCTGGCTGATAGTCTTATGAAAACATTTGGGTGTGTTAATGTTGCCCATTCTTCCTCTTCTTTGTTTCATGACTGCTGTTCATTTTCAGTGACTCATGGTTCTCTGGCTTCTCAGCACACGAGAGAGCTTCAATTCATGTCATCGGGTTCACCCCCACCAGCTCCTTCAGAAGTGACCATATAGTTTGGACGCTTTTAGGAGCATATGCTGTCACTTAATTTCTTTTCCCCCTGAAGAAATAACAGGCTTACAGTGCAAGGGTTATTTTCATCATAGAGTTAATGGAAGGTTAGGCTTAGTGTAAAGGATAATAATAACAACAAGATTTAAAATATATATATATATTGTAGTTCTAGCAGTATTTAGTATTTATAGAGGCCCTCAAGATAGCAAATGTAGCAAACTGTTGTCCTGGAACATAAAAGATACTTTTTTTTCTTACAATATTACTTCACACAAGCCTGGGCAGGCCAAATACTGACTGAAAAATGACACAAGTTATCCCAGCATTCTGTGTTGCCAGGTACTCTTTACTAATTCCCACAGAGTGGGTCTTAATGGCTTCCTGTAATTTTATGCAAGAGGACGACTAGCTCATAAGCCTGATGGAATGATGGAATCTTAAGTGGTTAAAAACTAAGTCCTTTCTAGACGAAGGCCATTGTCTAAAATTTGGAGCCTAGAAATGTGGTTGAATTTCATCTCCACAGCTGAGAGACAGCACCTGTGCTGGGCCGGGCCTTGCCTAGCGATGGCATGTGTGATCTCCCTTCTGAGATATTATTGCATGTTTTAGACTTTCATACCAAAAGGTTTAACACTGGCGGTTTTGTAAGAGATTTCTTGCAGGGGTTTTGTCATGTCTAAGGCTAGCACAAGAATCAGAAGAATGGAGATGAAGACTGAAATGTACGGAAGGTGTAGGCGAAGTTGAACAAAGAGGTTGAGGCAATGGCATACAGCCATTGCCATCCTTCTTTGTGTTGGTTCCCAGAGTGCACTGGTCGAGCTCACACGTCACAGTCAGTGTGTGACAAACACTGGCTTCCTTAGACTAGAGCATCATACCATTCAAGCAACAGGTGCCGGTGAAGATAACCATCAAAGATTCAGCTAGGGAAGGTCTAACTCACTGTCTACCTGGGTAGTGATGGTAGAGAATGGCCAGGAAATCCATCCCTTGATATTATCTCCACATGGAAATACAGAGGTGAGGAGTGGGGTGCTTACTCTCTGAAGTGGGTATAACTCTCTAAAGATCACATATCTGTATAGTTTCAGTTATTTCTAACAGGTGAATAGACCAACCTTATTGCATGCTGATTGTCTCCCCTGGCTCCTGCAATGGTGGGAATAATTCAGCGGTCAGTGCAAGGACATTCAGAGAGAGAGGAAGAGAGAGCTACTATTGTCTACCTGACAAAGGCCTGGGTGCATTCCAATAGCTTTCATTTTTAATCCTTCTTTCAAAGTTGACACCTGGATTCTGGTTTATGTCATGTTCAAAGAACAGAACAGACCTAATGGTCCCTCCATTCTTTATGAGGGATTTTTATTTCTACTTCAAGAAAACTATCATAGGCAATTCATTTTAAGCTAAATGTCAGGCTAATTTTGCTGCCTTTGATTATATTATAATTTTATAATTCATATCTAATTCATATTCACATCTAATTAAATATATTTATTTCTAATCATGTCAACCAGAAGACATATATAAAAATGAAAATTACTCTGGCATTTTAACTATGCATTCATATGGAGTTGTGTGATTGGTTCAGATTTCCCAAAAGACCAAACTTGAGAGTAGGATTATTAAGTAATAAATATGTAAATTAGTGAAATATATAAGAAACCGTCCATAATACTCTTGAGTGACCTTGCTGGTCATGTGGATGGCTGACCTCTGAAGCTAACCTCATGTTTACACCATCTCTCCAAGAAATCTTACCTATTCTTCTGCCCCTGGGAGTTCACCTTCTCCTGCGAAAACTCCCTCACAGTGATTCCACACAAATACTCTGAGCGCATTAAGACCTTGACTTTCCAGAGTATCTGAATATGAGCCACACTAGATACCATTCATTCAAACATCGAAAGCTATTTCATCTTCTGTTCATTTGGTTGCTATTTATTGGGGGTATGCCTTGGGCTAGATTTGGTTTGGTCACACGAAGAATTGTGTATGCATCAGAGATAGCCTGTGGCCTTGCACAGGGAGCATAAGTTTAACAAAGCTTCATGTGACATTATTATGAAAATCAGTCTATTATTTCAAGCTGAAATGGGCGCGCATTGGCTACTGTTCTCACTGGTGTGAACAAATGCCTGAGGAGGACCAACTCAAAGGAGGAAGGTTTTATTTTAGCTCACAGTTCTAGGGGATATAGTCCATCACGCCAGGGAAAGCATGCTGGCAAGAGCATGAGACAGCTGATGACGCTGCCTCTTTAGGCAACTCAGAGAGAGAGAGTGAGAGGGAGAAGGGAGAGGGAATGCTGGTGGTCGGCTCACTTTCTCCTTCTGGATCCCCTTCTTTCTGGAGTCTCCTTCTTATTCACCCACCTCTTTAAAGGGTGCCACTCATATTTAGGTGGGTCTCTTCATCTCAGTGCAATCTAAAGGGTTCCTTATAGACATGCCTGGGAGTTTGTTTTCATTCTGTCAAGTAGACAACCAATATTAACCATCACTGGGTAAGAAAGATAGCATGGCTAGAGAATTGCATGTTATGGTGGGAGGCTTTATGGAAGGCTCTCAAATGAAGTACTGTGGGAACCAGTATTTGAAGGGTGGAGAGCGACTGAGGTGAGGGTGGGCATTGTGATGGTGGGAACAGCATGCACAAAGGTCCTGAGGTGAGAAGCTGATAACATTTGAAGAACTGAATGATGGCAGAGGAGATACATTTGTGAGTCAAGGGGGACCAGGGCAGGCAGCTATCCAAGCACTGCTTTCAAGTTTGGGTCTTGAATAGCTGTCATGAGATATTTTTGAAAGCCCAAAAAGGAGAAAATGATTTCCTGTTTGCATTCAGAAACTCTTGCACTGGTTGCAGCCAGGCATGGGGGGTGGGGGAGATACAGAACCTTCTCTAGATCTGTCACTGCTTTGTACCCATGTTTGTTTTATTTTCCTCCCCTTTCATTGAAAAATCAAAGAGGTCTTACCCCCATGGAGCTGCCCACTTCAAGCATGCTCCATGACCCTGGGCCCTAGATCTGCTTCCTCACCCATCATTTCTTTCTGGATTCCAATGCTTTGGTTTGAACAAAGGATGCAAGCATGGTAAAGAGTCTTTTTTTTCTGTGCTTATTTTTTTTTCTCCCTCAAAATCCTCATGGTTTGTGTTTAGCTGACACTCTGATTTATCTCCCCTGTCTGGGTGTGCATTTTTTGATCCCAAGTGTTCATCATCACCCTTCCCAAGGAGCAGAGGCCTTAAAAGTTCACTTCCTACTAGCCACACCCAAGAACTTTCTCAGTCCACATCTTTCTGTATTCCAACAGCAAGGCCCTGAAACCTCTGACTCTTGCCCAGCAGAGACCCAGAAGGTCCAGGTTCAAATTTTGCTAGTGAAATCACCATATTCTAAAGCTGACACTACAAAGCATCTGTGCTCTTTTCATTGAAGAAGAAATTCTTGAGGGAGCCACCATCCTTGCTAGTACCTAGAGCCTTGAAATTAGGTGCCTTTTCAAAGCATCTGTTTCAAAATTAAGCACTACAGAAAATCACAAAGGATAATACATTTGTCTCTCATAAAGGATATTGATCTTTGTAGCGCCAAGTCCTGGAACACAGTGATTCCATACACTACTATGAGTATCAAGATCTTAATTTTCCAGAGTATCTGAATATGAGCCACGCTAGGTACCGTTCCTTAAAACATCTAAAGCTATTTCATCTTTTGATCATTTGGTTTCTTCCTGTTTGCCTTTAAACTCTTCCTTCCTCCCGTCTCAGACTCTGTGACCAGCCACAAATAGGTCTCCATCATCTTTTGTTGCCTGTCCATTCATTTACTTACCAGACAATTGATATCTTCAGTGTTTCAGATTTTGTTACACACACACACACACACACACACACACACACACACACACACACACAGAGAGAGAGAGAGAGAGAAAGAGAGAGAGAGAGAGAGAGAGAGAGAGAGTTGAATGAGGCTTTCACAGCGCTATAATAGGAACTTTTTGATGTGTGTGTTCCCACACAACCAGCATTCTGACCACAATAGTTATTGAGGTCAAGGGCTCATTTATACAATTCAGAAGTTAGAGGCTGTGGGTTTAGCTGATGTAGGTGAGGAAGTAGATCTAGAATTCTCAATATGTGGACATTTAAACAAAGGTGGAATAAACATAGGTGGGGAGACTCAGATAAAACCCTACCTCCACCCTGGGGAGCTATAGGTAGTAAATGATTGTTGGGGAAGGAGGAGTCATATCCTCAGTGGTGTAAAGTTGCCTCAGCTCAAATGAATAATCCTTTATCCATGCTCATACAGGAAACTCTAAATGCTATAGGACTGATTGATGGGTAGACAGACAGAAAGACAGGCAGACAAGCAGAGAGAGAGAGAGAGAGAGAGAGAGAGATCACAGTAGCAGAAGGCAGACTTATTGGGAAGAAGAAAGGGTTTAGAGGAAGGTGGGGGGAATAAGAAGATAAGAAGGTGTTAGGGTCAAAGATGTTGTATATACATGTATGTTTGAAACTATGAAAGAATAGATATATTTTAAAAGTTTATATTAATTGTACCTGAGATCAGTTGGTTGACAGAATTCTTCCTGACATATTACCAGCTCAAAGAAATTCTTGAGAGTTCCCACCTACTCACAGTTATTAAGATGGAAGAGGCTGGTGATGAGATCGTGAGCAATGCCATTTCCTATGCTCTGTATAAAGGTAAGTGGCATCAATTCCCTGAGAGTGCATCTTGGAAGACAAAAGGACTGGTATATAAGGTGAATTTCCTTGCATGGATGTATTTCACAGAATAACAGTTTTTATGTCACTAAAACGCTGATCAGGTGTAACCAAAATACTCTGCAAAGAGCTGTTTCTAATAGTGGTTTAAAGTACTTTTGGAGCCCCAGACTCCTTTAAAAATGTTGTAAAGACTTTGTACTTGCAGGGGTGTGTACACACACGCTTCTCTTGGACACATGTTCATGTGCTACACACACACACACACATACACACACCCCACAAATAACTTTGAATTTAACTTCAATGGTTCACACAATTCCTGAAGCTTATGATTGACCTCTAGGAAGAACAAGTCTTTGCTGTCCTAGAATTTCATCAAAGTGAACCAGGGATGATGGCATGTGCCTTTAATTCTGGCACTCCGGAGGCAGAGGCAGGCAGATTTCCATGAGTTTGAGGCCATCCTGATCTACATAGTGAGTTTTGGAAAGCCAGAGCTACATAGTGAGACTGTTTCTCAAAAAAGCATTCCATCAAAGTGAAATTATCTGTAGTAAATAGATCCTAGCAAAGCCTTGCCTAGAGAGAAATATCTGACTAATAAAGGCAAAGTATACAGAGAAGATCTGGGACCACATGGAGCATAATTTAATCATTAAGTTTTTATTAGAACATTCTTGTGCTTGTCAGAAGTTGTCAATACTGACATTCATTCTAATAGAATGAGGTCTATATGGATACATAGATCTAGAAAACAACGGCTCTGGAAATAGCCGTGTGTGCTAAACTAGTTACTTCTCTCATGTATTTTTTTTGTGGTCAAATATCTAATAAAAGCAATGTAAGAGAGGAGGATTCATTTTGAATCATGATTTTAAAGGACGCAGGCTATCATGGAAGTGACATGCAGCTCCATGGAACTGGAGTATATGCCTAAGACTCCTCACCAACTCGTATTTGGATAGACAAGGAAGAAAAGATATAGATGATAAGGACAGATGATAAAAAGATAGATCATAGAGATAGGTGACAGATGATAGAGAGACAGATGATAGATAGATAAATAGGTAGGTAAATGATAGATGATATATAGACAGATAGACAGATAGACATGAGAAAGTGGGGAGAGAAGGGAAGGGAAGAGATTGGGTTGAAAGTTGGGCCTCTAAGATCTACTTTCTGTGACCCACTTCCTCAAGCTAAGCCCTGCCTCCTAAAGGTTCTACAGCCTCTCAGAACTGTGCCAGCAGCTAGAGACCAAATATTTAAGCCAGGAGCCTGTGGGGAACATTTTACACTCAAATCATAACAAATGCATTGCTATGATATGGCTAAGTATTTTGTAAAATATTTTATTTTGAAATATAATATTTATGGAGCCTCAGTCTATAGAGACTTGTGTTACACTGTTTCATATGTAGCAGAAAGATATTATGATCCAGGTTGGTCCTTCTAGACTTCAGGACATATGCAACTCGGATTAGAATGAGAGAAAATAGAGGGAGAGGAGAGTTTTGTCTGATTCCATGAGACCTGCTTTGATGAATGGCTCTGCTCTTCAGATACAATAGCCTGCCTTCCTCATGTCTAGCCCATTAGTCTGTTGCTTTTCTTTCTGCCCACTTTTAGCCTTCAGCACTAACGAGCAGGACAAAGACAATTGGAATGGGCAGCTGAAGCTTCTGCTGGAGTGGAACCAACTGGACCTTGCAAGTGATGAGATCTTCACCAATGACCGCCGGTGGGAGGTAGCAGAAGGCTCCAGGGTTATTCCTGGGTTAGCATGGACAATGGTCTCAATAATAGATGGCCTATAGCCAACAAGGTCATCAGTCTAGAATCATGTTAATGATTGTTTTGTTCTGGTGTATCAGTGCTGTCCAGCCTCACTTTCCTTAATTGTAGGATGGGATAATGACATTGTCTTAGTAGGTTTCTTGCAAACAGAAAATATAGCCAAAGGCTTGAATGTAAGCTTTCCTAAATGTATAGCCCCGTTGGCAGGGGTAAGAGAAGAACATAGGTCTGCTCTCGGGAGTGGCTGGGTAAAGGTATGGGGACTATTATGGGATTATTGATCTGGCTTGACAAAAAAGATCAAGATAGTGACATTCTTTCGCCACCTTCCCACCCACCTAAATCTTGATAGATTTGTCAGGGGTGGGACGTATGAGGGAAAAGTGGAACAATTTTGCTGAAGACACTCACTTGTGACTCCCTGGGCCAAATGAGCGCCTCTAACGTGGAAGCTGAACATGTCATTAAAAACTATAGATTTTTCAGCAGATCACTTTTCTATATTTTCACTTTGATAAACATTTAGGAATCCATTTATGGGAGACCACTGGCATACATCTAAAGTTCAGTCACCTTTGGAGGAACAATTAAACCATCCAACAGAGATTTACAAGGGTGCCTCTTTGTGCATCTGTTTTTAATCTTCTGAATTAGTTCAAGTCATTATGGGCACTTAGGATATTTTTTATTTTACACATGTGTGGATGGATTTGAATGCTTACATAACTCAATTTCCATCTTCAGCAGCCAGGTTTAAGAAAACACTCTTAGAAATATTACTTACATTAACATATGATCAATTTTAATGACAGTAGTGGAAATACTAAATGGCTCATGAATTTTTGAGTTATTCATCCCTTTAGCAAACACTGTCTAGTGTTTGGTTTTTGCACCATAATGAACCCTGTTACATATCACAAGGCTTTAGTTAATGGAGGGAAAGAACTGTAAATGCATTAATTAATTGATTCATAAATGAGCCCCTCTGTGTAAACTGTTCTATTTAAATAAGGTCAGGTGGTAAATAAACAAGCTCAGACACATGAACATTATACATTTGATTTTATTAAGTCAGCTGAAGGTGGCTAGGGGGAAGGGCACAGTGTAAGAGTTTGAGTGCTGGAGTAGCTTTCTGTGTATCCTTGAGCAAGGCTCTCAACTATGCTCTGGGTTAGCCCTTTTACAGTGCCATGCTGGAGCCAACTCATACCAGCCTGCAAAAACTAGCTGCTAGGTTTTTAGAAATTTAGGGGGTTGCTTGTTGAACATAGCCATTATTAAAAATCAGATTGTGCAACTTTATAATTTGGATAAATTTTATGAAAATCAAAGGTAAGGAGTAATCAAGGCTAACACCTTTTCAGAAGGTGGAGATAGCTCAGTGGTTGGAGTGTTTATACTGCAAGTGTGAAGCCACCAGCAGTGATGTAAAAATCTGGGTATGGCTGTGCATGTCCGAAATGTCAGCCTTGAGGGATGGAGATTGGTGGGTCCCAAGAGCTCACTGGCTAGATAAACTAGCTGAAGAGGCCATGACTTTTTAGTTATTTTACTTGTGTTTGGGGGGTTACTTCTGTTGCTACCATCAACTCTTAGACAGTGGTGTGGCCCTCCAGAGCTATTCCTGGTTCTGCATTCAGAGGTGTCATAGCAGTAGCTGAAAACTCGCCATGGAGCGTGTGCGTCTTAGGTACGTCAGATAGTACGTCAGGGTCTGTGCTTCTGTCAGAGAACGACTGTTAAATATTTGTCAGGCTTGCCTAAAAATAGAGACAATAGCTAGGGCACTTTCCTCAGTGTGTTGTTACACTGATTAAATTAAATGGTGGTTCTAAAGGACCTAGAACACTGGCTCTTATGAAGCTCTATACTATAATCCACTTAAAAGCAAATTTTAAAATGGCATCATGCAGTGCTTTACAATGCACGTGGTGGTTTCCTAGCTACTCACACCAATACCAAGCGGAGATGATCTCATTTTGTTGACAAATGAGTCAGAGCACCATAGATGTTGCAGGATGGGGGTTCCTGGTGGTGTCGGGGAGGGTGGGGCTGGGGTGGGAGGGCTGCTCTGAACTAGATTCTCAGAGCATGACCTGGGCTGTCTCATTTTGTTTTCGCCAAGCAGAACAAAACAAACAGGGGCTGAGACATAATCTAGTTTCTGACTCAGGAAACTAGAGAATGGTAGAATCAAGGTTCTCGGAAACAGATACGGGCCTTCCTGCAAAGCCTTTCCTTTCCTGAATACAACTGTTTCTCAGTGTGGTCCTAAAACTAGTTACAGTATATAACCCAGAAACATGTTAGTGCTGCAAACTGCTGGATTCCACCTCAAGCTTGCTGAGTTAGAAACAAGGTCCATCGCCAACAGTCCTCTGTAACAAGTCAGCTGTTTTCGAGAACCACTTTCCCCAAGCTGTCCAATGTGGGAAGGACCATAGACACCCCCTACACACACACAAAATGAAATGCAAGATAGGGGGTGTAATGGACACATCCTCTGAGGACAGTGGAGAAAATGGAGCTACCACTCTCTCCAGATGAACCTCTGCCCTGCCTACCCCAGAGAGATCTAAAGAGTGAGGGAACCCAAAGAACCTTTAACAATTTCCCCTAGGCTACGTGTGAATCTAAATAAATGACATCAGGCAGATAGGAAAAGCACCATGCTGCCATAATGGTGGTGGCCAGACAAGGAACTGAGGAACCGAATTAGGCCGCCATGAGTGAGGAGTCAGGGAGTCAGTGAGTACCAGAGGGCCCGGGCTCCCGGGAACAGGTGCCACAGGCTTCTGCTGGAGGCGTCTGCTTTATCAGATCTTGCACCTTCTACTTTTAATGCTAGAAATTAAATCTTGGTGGCCCTTTGGATCCTGAGTGTTGGCAATGACACTGACATAATGCACTTAAAAGCTGACAGTGCTTTTAATACTGCATCTACCGGACTGCAGCTGAAGTGGACAGCTATCATTCTTCAAATTCTTAGAAAGCTAGGCGTCATGGCTCCTGCCTGTAATCTCAGCCTTTTAGGAGGCTGATGCAGGAGGATTGCTATGAATCCAAAGCCAGCATGGATTATGTAGTGAGTTTCGGGCCAGCCTGGGCTACAAGTTAAGAACATATCTAAAAATAAATAAGGAAAAAAAAAAGGATTCTTGGGAAAGGTAGGTAGGATAATTTTTACCAGACACAGGTAAAAATGTTGACCCAGGTGGCGAACACCCAGTGTTCCAGTGACTGGCTCCTGCACCACACCCCAGCTCTTTGCTAGACAATATGAGGCTTGATGGGTTCCATTCTGGCAGTTGTGTGAGAACTCTCACAGTCTAGGGAAGGTCAGAGTTCAGCTAAGAAGGGCACAGACCCACGGGCATGAACAGACAGCATTGGCAACTGGTTCACAGTTGGTGTCCCACTGTTGGCTTCCGCTCCCTGATGCTCTTCATGCCACGTGGCAGAGCCAGCTCCTGGCTCAACGTCATGCCTAAATGGGCACTGCTAATTCCACGTAAGAGCCCAGGGCACATTCAACAGCTCCCCTGTGCTGTTTTCCCATCTAGACGCTGAAAAGATGAATTTTATTGTCAAAGCAGGATGGAGAGAGAAGCTGAAGGTAGTAGGATTTTGTAGCTGAAACACAGAGACACCCTGTGTTTTCTTTATTGGCCTTATGGTCTGAGCTCTCTCCTGCTCTTTCTCTTCAGTCTGCTGACCTGCAGGAAGTCATGTTCACGGCCCTCATAAAGGACAGGCCCAAGTTTGTCCGCCTCTTTCTGGAGAACGGCCTGAACCTGCAGAAGTTTCTCACCAATGACGTCCTCACTGAGCTCTTCTCCACCCACTTCAGCACCTTGGTGTACCGGAACCTACAGATCGCCAAGAACTCCTACAACGACGCACTCCTCACCTTTGTCTGGAAGCTGGTGGCAAACTTCCGCAGAAGCTTCTGGAAGGAGGACAGAAGCAGCAGGGAGGACTTGGATGTGGAACTCCATGTGCGTAGCAGGGAGGCTGTCTACTTGAGCTCAGTTCTCTGGCTCCGTATTCCCTATTCCTAAAATTCAATCCTCTGCCTTCATCTTTACCGTTCTTTCCCTGATTGCCGTTAAGCAGCTGTAAGGGTGACCTGCATTTTCTCTACCATCTTTCCTAAAGAATAAAGTCCCTGGGAGAGTTCTCCGATGTCTTTCTCTAGGCCCCTGGCTGTGCTTAGGTTACATTATTTCTAGATCAGAAGGCTTGTGTGACACACTTTCTGAGGCTGTTTGATCGGGAACAGGGACTAACAGATGGCTCCCTGCTCATGTCTCAGCCTGTTTACAGAAATAGCTCCCTGCTGCCAGGTGAAAGAGCGAAGGACTGCCCGTATTTATTCTGTGGGTAGATGGAGTAGCGGGTAGGTCCACTAGAGCACTTGTGGGCTTCTTGAGGTTCCTTTCTGAGTCCACATAGGTCCGGTTCCACCGGTCTGCATCAACAATTATTATTAACATTTGCTCTTGTCAGAGTACCCCAATTACCCCTCATTTAGAGGAGACAATTAGGGGGCATAGTAACGTGAGCCTGAGGTAACACGCCATGGCCGTGGGCTTCTTGCTCTTCTGACTTTACTGCCTCACTCTCTAAATAAACCACTTTCCTCCAATTCCTATCTCAGGATTGCTTCTGGAGAAACGCAAACTAGATCATTATCATCTGTAACTGAGATTTTTAAAAGTGTGTGTGTGTGTGTGTGTGTGTGTGTGTGTGTGTGTGAATGAACTTGGTGGGTGGTTGAGCTGAAAGTGTAGATCTTCTGTTTGACATTTATTTATGTTTAAAAGTTTGAAACACAGCACGTAACTGGGCCTCATATGTATAGTTTAGAATTTAGTAAAATAAAAAAAGGGGCTGAAAAGAAACACACACAGTCACTTTCTATTTGAAATGTTCCTTGAAAGATACTGAATCTTAGGTATGAGCTAGGACTGCAATCTTTGAATAACAGTCCAGAGAAATAAGCCATTTTATGTGGTAGCAATTGGATGGAAGCCACAGCAAAGTTAGATTTAATTTGAACACTTTTTTTTTTCCTAGCTGAGAGGCTGATGTAGAGGATGGAAAGGAATTGCTTTCTCCATGGCATATCAGGAGTCATTCAGTCTTTAAATTGCTCTCAGCACATTTTCCCCCTTCATACTTTCCCACAGTCATACTTTGTCTCTTATGATAGATGAAAGATTTTGTGTCAAGTCACATCGCCTGCTGAGCTTCAGCGAGCAAGGAGAATCACATTACTGCGCTGCTAAAACAGACTCAGCCCCGAGGTCTCCAACGAGAGGCCTGCCTGTTTCTCGGGCCTGTTAGAATAGTGGACCTAAAGTGGGTTACATTTGCATGTGGTGACCCGATGTTCTGGCCTCTGGCAGGATGCTTCCCTCACCACCCGGCACCCTCTGCAAGCTCTCTTCATCTGGGCCATCCTTCAGAACAAGAAGGAACTCTCCAAGGTCATTTGGGAGCAGGTAAACATCCAGGTCCACAATAAATCAGCACCAAATACATGCTGTATCATAGGAGTCCTGTCTAACCTAAACTCACATGCCCGATTTAGAATTTGGGGCATCTAGTACATAGAACCATGGTCGGGCCTCTTTTTGTATGGCCTTGGGAATGTGCCTGGGATGGGTGGTTCCCAGAAAGGAGTCATGTAGGGGCCCTCCAGCACACTCCTGCTCCTTGGGCACAAACCTTTCCCCAAGCACAAGAAGCTTTGAAATTTAACCTAGAAATTAATTTCTAAGTCCTTACCTTACATGTGTAAGGCCTTAGGTTTGATCCCCAGCACTGAATAATGATAAGATTAAGATTAAAATAATACTTTCTAGCTTTTATTCCAGTATGGACCAAAAGGTCGGGCCTGTACAAATTCTGCTTTGAAATCTTGAGAGTTTTCTTTGTGGTTTAGTACGTCGCTGTTTCTATAAATGAATTTGTGGACACCCATGCTTCCATGGCCGCTTCAGCGCTTGAGCGCTGAATTCAGACACAGCCTTCAGTTACATGGGCTCAGGCCTTCAGTGTTCTCATTCTCGCTCCCTGTGGCTTGGCTGTTAACCACATGATAATATTGAAATAGTGGGTCAGCCAGGCTTCCTGTTATTAGAGGCATAATGTCTTGCAATATTTATCCAGGTATTTTCTATTTATCTGCTGATTCCATGTGCAAGACCATGAATAGTTTATTGAGGTCCGAGTCTGTTCCAAGCTCATTGCAAACCTGACCTTCAGTCACACTAAGTAGCTGACTTGGCCATTTCCTGTTTGCGTATACCTTTCAAAAGTTCATGTTGATGTTACCACTTCAAGAGATTAAGAATTAACCAACATTTCCCCATCCCTGTCCCCCAAAAGACCAAAGGCTGTACTCTGGCAGCCTTGGGGGCCAGCAAGCTTCTGAAGACCTTGGCCAAAGTTAAGAATGACATCAACGCTGCTGGGGAATCGGAGGAACTAGCCAATGAGTATGAGACCCGAGCAGTGGGTAAGTGTCCCGTAGTATTTGCCAAGATATCTCACCTAGAAGGCTTAGGTGGGAAGTGGAAGGTAGGAGGTTCTGTTTTAGGTAAGCAGAGGTAGAGGACCTGGAGTCCTTCCCAGAGAACGCTGCAGAGAGGGCTCCCCAGGTGTTGAAGGCGCTCAGCTCCATAAGCATTTATCAACACCCTCTGCGGTGAAGAGGCCCACCAACTATCTAAAGAAAACATCTCTGTGGCAAGGGTCACATTTGGACAGCTTTCTCAGTGGCTTCTGTATGCCTGGCTCCTCATGCCCAGTCTGTTCAGGCTTTAACTGGGGATAGGCGGCCAGGTCCCGTGTCTGCTGTCTGAGCCCAGCTCTCCCCTCCCTGATGATAGAGCTATTCACTGAGTGCTACAGCAGCGATGAAGACCTGGCAGAGCAGCTACTGGTCTACTCCTGTGAAGCCTGGGGCGGGAGCAACTGTCTGGAGCTGGCGGTGGAGGCTACAGACCAGCATTTCATCGCTCAGCCTGGGGTCCAGGTAAGCTGAAGTCAGGCCCTGAAAAATGTACCCAGGAACAGGCCTGACATCACATGCTACCAGAGTAGCATTTAGAAAATGACATTAAGAGCCACTTTTCTCATCCCATATAAAAGCCATTGAGAGAGTATCTGGGTGACAATATGGAAGACGATGACACATACGCTTTTGTGTACAGTCTTACCCCAACAGATGGTACAGGAATGCGTCAGTCAATTTTCCAGCACTGTAGCAAAATGCCTTAGGTGATCAACTTAACAAAAGGAAAGGTTTTGTTTTGGCTCACAGTATTTGGGGGTTTAGTTCATGGTTGTTGTGCCAATTGCTTCTCGGTGTATGATGAGGCAGGGCCTTATGGACAGAGTGTGTGGTAGAGGCACACACTCACCTCATGACAGCCAGGAAGCAGGAAGTGAGGAATAAGAGGAACCAAAGTCTCTCCAAAGGTGTAGCCCCCTATGGTCTAAGAGTTCCCCCTAGGCTCCATCCTCTTAAAGACTATGCTACCTTCCAAAATGCCTTTAGGGTATGGAAAAAATCCAAGATCCAGACCATAGTGTGATGCCTGGCTTTAACTGTCAACTTGACCTACTGTAGAATCACCCAGGAAGAGTCTCGGGGAGGGTTTTTCTAGATCAGTTGGCAGGTTCAGTGTGTCGGGAGCGGAGTCATCCAGATTGCCTTGGTTGGTGTAGGACCCAGCCCACCACGGGAGGCTCCGTTTCCTGGTTTTAGACCCTGGGCTGTGTAAGAATAGGCAAAGCTAGCTGAATACTAAGCGCTCAGGCACTCCTCTCTGCTCTTGATTGTGGGTGTCACACGACTCGCCTCCTCAAGTGTCTGCCTTGGCTTCCCTGCTTTGACGGACCTTCATGTGGAACTGTGAGCTAAAATAAACCCCATCTCCCCAAAGCTGCTTTTTGTCGAGGTATTTTATCACAGCGACAGAAGTGAAGCTAAGTCATGTGGCAAGGAGAAAGAATTCTTTGGGCTTCCACAAAGCATATAGGACATTACAATGATGAGCTGTGTCTGGGGCCCCTGTCTGGGTCTTGGTCTACTGAAGTAGATGTGAGATGATAAACCTCCTTTTCTTGTCTGTGAAATGGGCATAGTTGTGTATATCAGTTATCTTTCTGTTTATGTTAGTTATCTTAAGTTCCCTGACAGAGGTGACTACAGGGAAGATAGACTGAGTTGGGCTCACAGTTTTCACCCAATGCAGTAGAGCTCATGGTGGTTATAATTCATCACTCCTGGTGTATTGGAAAGAGGAAACTGGGACTAGAAACTGGGGTAGGCTATTACAACCACCCTCAGTGGCACACCCCCACTAGCCAGACCTAAAAATCCCCCCCCCCCACAGCACCACCAGCTAGGGGCCAGGTGTTCAAGCCCAGGAACCTGTTCAAACAGCAGCGGTGGTGGTGGTTGCCAGGGAGTTGCTATGGTGATGCCAGGAAATTCTATGTGAGAGGGAAGGTCAGCAGAGTCAGCTGCTACCAGCACAAGTCATTATGAGTGATGGAGAAATTACGAGACGGGTGAAGCTGGTCCTGAGGCAAGTCAAGCAAGCAGCAGCTTATAACTGCGCCCACAGCTGCACGGGGACGCCGGAAGTCTAATCGGGTAAGGAGAGGTGGAAGGGCCATGCCTGTTACATGTTCCGTCAGCACCACGCATGTGGAAGTGAGGATAATTCATTTTGTTTTGAGGACTCAGGGCCCAGGGTGGTTCTGGAACATTTCCCGTGCAAGCTTGCTAGGAAGTAGTCGCACCGGGATTAAATCCTCTGCGACTCGCCGCCTGCTGCAGACTTTGTCTTATACCAGGTGGCTGGCAAACAGATCTCAGAAGAGGCTCTCAGTGAGAGCAGTTTGCTCTGGAGGTGAGCTGGGGGAGGAAGGAGCTTAAGGAGGTGTCCCCGGAGGTCTTGGAGGCCTCTGGCTCCCCTCTAGAGGCTGCTGCAAGCGCCAGGCGGTGTTTACAAGTGCAGCATGCTGCTTGCTGGTGTTCTTTCTAGGGTCCAGCTTGCCCCGCCTCAGCCAAGCACACACTGATAGCACAGCCTCAAGAGGACATGGCACGGCTCCCAGGAGAAGCCCTTGGCACTTGTCGCCCTCCCAATAGAAGGGCAGGTGCAGGGCTGTGACCACAGCACAACAGTCCCAGCCTTCTTAGTGACGATGCCTGGGTCTCAGCTTGTCCCTGCTCTGCCCTCTTCCTGCCAAACCCCTTCTGGTTGGCTCCCTCTATCTATCTATCTATCTATCTATCTATCTATCTATCTATCTATCTATCTATCTATCTATTCAGCTGTGAGGTTTTTTGATATGGTCAGGTCCCTTGTCCCCATCTTTTGGTGGCAATGTGATGTTTCCGGGCTCTACCATCATGGAAACCCTTCCTGTCCCACCTTGAGGGGCTGGCACAGCGAGTCAGGGGACTGTTTTCATGCATTCCATCTGGCCTTTACATCAACCTCTTTTTTCCTGAGTTCATTTTAGCTTCCAAATAAAAGCATCCCATTTGCCTCCAGCCAGGAGCTCTGGGAAGTCTACAGTGCTTTGGCTCTGCCTTTGAACTTATCATCACGGAGAGACGGGGGTTAGAAACATACTTGTTTAATCTTACACAAATAAATATTACAGTAGTTAAAAATTCATAGCTTTAGTGAATTTTCACTCACATAGCCATCTCTTTTAAAACTCACAGTACTCAACTTAGAAAAAAAATAAACAAACTCGGAAATCAAACAGAATTTTAAGTTGCTTCTTCATGCCTTAGAATCCAGGCAATATCTGAAAGATTAAAGACGTTAATAGGCGTTAGATATTTCAGGAGCATGCAGGGCTCGGGAGGAGAACTGTGTTCTGTCCCCCATATATTCACATCAATAAGGCTGTGTGTTCTCCATCTCTATTTCCTTCTAGAATTTTCTTTCGAAGCAGTGGTATGGGGAGATTTCCCGAGACACGAAGAACTGGAAGATCATCCTGTGTCTGTTCATCATTCCCCTGGTGGGCTGTGGCCTCGTGTCTTTCAGGTGTGGGCTGGGACATCCAATCATGTGTGTGAGCATCAGAGTGTGTGTTTGCGCATTTGTGTAAATGGTTGTAAGCCTAGAACTTAGAGCGTTCACTGGCATCTGTGCGCTTGGTCTATGTTTTTCCTGTGTTAGGTTTCAAGCAGGTGGGCCTGAGGTTGTCTTTAACATCTGAGGCTTAATTTGGATTCTCTGATCATACGGAAACAGGGTTGAGTTTTGGCTGGGTCAGCCTTGAGATCCAGTTTTGCCATGTCTATTTCTTGTCTGTGGTGGGAAGCAAGCCATGTCCGTGTGTGTGTGTGTGTGTGTGTGTGTGTGTGTGTGTATGTGTGTGTATGAATGTATATGTCTGTGTGTGTATGTATGAGTGTGAATGTGAGTTTATGTGAGGATGCAAGTATGTGCGTTTGTGCACGTGTGGAAATGTGTGACTGTCAGTGTGTGAATGTATCTGAGTGTGTCTGACTGTCAGTGTGTATGAAGGTTTGTGACCGGGTCACTGTGTCAGTGGGTGTGGGTGTGTGTGGCTGGCGACACTGTCCTGCCTCTGGCTCTGTCTAGGAAGAAGCCCATTGACAAGCACAAGAAGCTACTCTGGTACTATGTGGCCTTCTTCACCTCGCCCTTCGTGGTCTTCTCCTGGAATGTGGTCTTCTACATCGCTTTCCTCCTGCTGTTTGCCTACGTGCTGCTCATGGACTTCCACTCGGTGCCGCACACGCCCGAGCTGATCCTCTACGCCCTGGTCTTCGTCCTTTTCTGTGATGAAGTAAGGCAGGTAGGCAAGGGTTGTACCCTTCCGGGGAGATGGGAACAAATGTCGGCCCATCCCAGGCAGGACCCTGACGGCATATCAAGCGAGCGATTCCACGTCAGTCTGCTGTATGGAACCAGGGAGGTTACTGGGGTACCTGACAGGAGAGTGGGCGATTCAAAGGCTGCCACATCGTCAAAAGCCCACGCAGACAACTCATCAAAGATGCATCATGGCCCAGTTTATGGATGAATTGCTCCACCAAAGAGCCCTCAGCAACTATTGAACGTTCCGAATCTTGGGGTGTGTGTATTTGGAATCCTTGCTCCACCACTGAATCCAGAGTCTACTCCAGACCCCATGGAGTAGGTACTTATTGAGGCAGCAGATGTTGAAGAAATTCGTGTTGGTGGTGAAGGTGTTGCTGTTCTAACCCATGGCGGAAAATGTTCTCAGAAAGTCCTTGCAGATTCTGCTGTCATTGTCTTGTCTCCTCTGGACCTGAACCTTAAAATACATCCATTTAGCAAGTATTTGCTAGGTATGCAACTTAGGGGGTGTTTAGTTGACAAAGAACAAGGCCCAGTGATGAAAGCGGTTTGAATGGGCAAATAATGGTGCTCTTGGCCTTGTAGGGCCCCGACTAGTCCAAACACTAAGTTGGCTAATGCCATGCCAACTCTCTGTGATAGATCTTAATGTGCAGTCTCCAGGATTCATGGGTTACAAGGGATTCTGAGGGCCTGTTTTAGGCAATTAGGGATATCTGCTGTGGGTGTGAGGGCTGGGAGGGGTCTTAAGACCAGTTCCCCACGTTCCTGTCTTCTTGACTAGTAGGAAAGTGGTGTGGAAAGTGATGGAATTCAGCAGAGGAGGGAGAAGAAAGATCCAAACTGCACGAGATGGCTGAGTAACAGTGTACTTCCTACAGTTCTGGGAGGCACAAGTCTAAGATGAAGGTGTGGGTTGGGCTGGTCCCGTACAGTACTGTGAAGGAGACTGTTCCGTGCTATTTCCTGGCTTCTAAAAGTTTTCTGGCCATCTCTGCCATTCTGTGCCTCATGGGATGTGGCATTCTGACCCCTGGCTTCATGTCCATATGCTGCCCTCCCCATGTGCAGGTGTGTCCCAATTTCTCCGTTTCCTGGGGACAGCAGTCATGTTGGAGCAGGCCTCCGTCTCAACCTGTCCAATTCCATTTGCAGTGACCTGATTTCCAAACAAGGTCACATCCCCAGGTACAGGGTGGAGGATTTCAGTCTGGAGGTACAGCTCAGCCCATGGCACTTCTATATGACCTCTGTCCCTTTGTCTCTTTCCAAACCCACTTTCCAGTTCTCCTGGCTTGTGATGTGTCTCCAGCAGAGTGGGCTGAGGTATCCTGTGTGCTATAACCAGAGCCACGGGATACTCAGCATTCAGGGCAGACCTGCTGACCAGAGGGCCAGTTGACTCGTGGCCAGTGGAGATTAAGTCATGAAGACTGGGTGGGGAGAGGGAGAGAGGGGCCGACAAGGAAAGAGGCAGGAGAAACCCAGCAGGGGTCGCAAATGGGCGGTAATTTGGGCTGAGTGGCGTGCAGTCACTCGGTTTCTTTGTTCTTCCCCTCCTCTGGGTGCATTTTCTACCACAGAGACTCCTGGGAAAAGCAGAAACCCGGATCAGGAGTCCTTTGAGCCCCCCTGGTACTGACATGCTCTGGTGGTCCACAGAACAGCATCAAGCAGGGCTTATCTGCTTTAGATTTTCATTTGCTGTGGATATCTGAAGCCAGAGCTGCTACTGTCGCGTTGCTGAAAATGCATTTTAATACAGGAAGGGACAAGCATAAGTCACTCATAAGTGCTCATAAGTCACTCCTGAGGGCTACCATGGTTATAGCTACTGAGGTCAGAGATGAGGAGACAGACAAAGGGACCCTGCCTTCGCTCACTTCAGAGCAGAGAAACCCTGGTGGCCTTGTCTTGGAATGGTTGATAAAACATGACTGACTGATAAAACATGATTGCTGTTGTGAAGTTTTGTCTAGTTTTGGCAGTGCCCTGTCACTAGAGGGCGCTGCTTCCCTTCATTTCTACGGTCTTGTCTTTGGCTTCCTAAATGGGTTAGCTTCTTTCTAGGAGAGGCTCAGCAGGCCTGGGCAGATTCACGGTTGTTAGGGAAAAGCCCTAAACAAGACATTGTTTTAGATTGTGTCTGGGACTCAGAACCTGTGCTCTCTGGTGACGAGTGGCAGCCCTTGCCCAGAGGGAGGGTGCTCACAACTAACGTGGGACTTTAACCTAGAATGTCAACAGGGCAAATAAGTACAGTTGTTAGTTTGCTCCCAGTGGAGCTAAGCAGACACAGCTGATGTTCGTTTAAAACGTGCTGAGTTCCAACCCGCCTTCTCTGTGACTTTCTTGGTTCTGAGGCCGTCGCAGCGCGAAGGAGAGGATAAACAAGCACATGCCTGTGTTTCACAGCTTGGCTTTGCTCTTTCCCCCTTAGACCCGAAATCTGTCCTCCCTGTAGTGGCACTCTGGTGGCCCGGGGTTCATCTGTCTATTTTTCCATAATATGGGTCAGGCTTCTGGAGTCACTCAGGCGAGGATGAGCTGGGGTTGAACAGAGCAGTATGTACCAGCCTCCCAGCAGGGATGAAAGAGAGAACAGGTGGGCAGGGCCTGTGCCAACCGCTCTCATCTTAGGAGGCATGGAGTAGCAAATGGCTTTCGGTGCCCCGGGGTTCAGCACTGCCCAGATAAATGGTCCTAACCTAGAGCCTGTCTCCCCACAGTGGAACATGGCCTGACCCAGGCTGCCCAGCCCTGAAGGAGTTCACTGTTCCACTGTGATCTGCCAATGCTCTCGTCCTTTGGCTACTCAAAATGAGTGTCCCGCCACCCTCCTGCCTCCCAGCTTGCAGGATTTTGGTGGATGTGAGAATCTTAACTATTCCCAGGATGGGCACCCTAGCCTTGGGGTTAGGGATGGGTTCCCAGATAGACTCAGGAGGGTGAGTTTATGGGAAGACAGGGACATCTGCCTTTCATGGGACTCAGTATCACACCTCACTGAATCCACTGTTTTGAGCTGTCCCTGGGGTCTGGGCCCCAGGCTGTTAGTAGCCAGACTCTGAACAGGTAGGCAAATGAAAAGATCAGACAGCTGGTTTTGGAGCTCTTCCAAGCCAGTGTGTAGAGTCCAGTTAATAATCTTTCTTCCCTGTATACATTTTTTAAAGAGTTCACTGATCAAGTTGTTCTGTTGTGTGTGCCAGAAACAGTATTTTGACAATAAGTGTCCAGATCTATGGTGACAACATCTGGATGATACCTTGTAACTGTGCAGTGCCCGTCTACACTGCTGTCCACGCCCACCTGCTGTTTCACCTTTGTTCACCCCTTGGAAGTGGGGTTCTGGTAGGGCTCACTTGACACAGTCTCAGAGGTACCCTGGGAGAAACTGAGTGGACATTTACAAGTCCGGAAGAGACCGGTGCCCAGGTGCCCATTCCTGTGTCTGCCCTTTCTTGCCATAGTGGTACATGAATGGAGTGAATTATTTTACCGACCTGTGGAACGTTATGGACACGCTGGGGCTCTTCTACTTCATCGCGGGTATTGTGTTCCGGTAAGTGGGTCTTACTCCCTTCCCAACCTCAGTCCTTTTGGCACAAAAGATGGTGAAGAAAAAAATCTTGGACATCTCAAGCCCAAAGGGCTGGAGTGTCACTTCATTCCCCTTCAGATATGATCACAAGAGGCCATTAACCCTGCCCTGTGGAGACACAACTTGGCCATCATAAATTTCCCCTCATCCTGGGTTCTTTACAATTTTCCTTTTCATTTTTTCAGGCAGGCTTGGGGGAGGCATAATTAGAATCCAAGGAGAGGGCACTGGGGATGATGAGTGTCTTTCAACGTTGATTCATTTTCACCCACTCAATTTAAAGCGCATGTGACCTTGGCCAGCATGCTGGCCCTGCTGTTGCCCCTCCACACACCAGTATATCCCTCCAGCCTCAGAGCCAGAGTGTGCGAGAAGACACCTAAATCCAAAGTCGTCATCAAAAGCCCAAAAGTGAGCTAGGGAGGCGGCTCAGTCGGCAAAGTGCCCGGCATACAAGTGTGAGGACCACGTTCAGACCACAGAACCATGTAAAATGAGGCACCACCACAACCCGAACCCAGAGCTGGGGCAAGCGAGGAAGCTCTGGGACCTGACTGGCCAGGTCAGTGAGCAAGACAGAAACCAATAGAGTTCGACACCAGTGTCTGCTTCCAGCCGCCACAAGTGCGCGTCTGTGTACATAAGGAGGCATACACACAGCCACACCACGGTGAACTTGGGAATGTTGTACCACGTCCCGTAAATTCTCTCTCTCTTTCTCTCCACAGCCTCCACTCTTCCAATAAAAGCTCTTTGTACTCCGGGCGAGTCATTTTCTGCCTGGATTACATTATATTCACTCTAAGGCTCATCCACATTTTCACTGTTAGCAGGAACTTAGGACCCAAGATTATCATGCTGCAGCGGATGGTAAGAGCCAGCACTTCGGCTAGTGCCCTTCTCTTGCCATGCTCAGAGCCCTTGTTCCACATCATGGCTGAAGATAGACCACCTCCAGGGGAGAATTTAGGAAAGAGAGCTCTAAAGAACCAGCAGTGTCCATGTGACACGCTGCCTGCACGTCACTGAGGTTTCCTGGGAGTTCCATTTGAGTCAGAGGGAACGTAGGTGTGTGTGTGTGTGAGGAGGCTTACATGCCATTTTTATAGATGGAGTTGCTCTAGTTCAAGGAGGTGAACATGTTTCCCTAGAGGAAAGCAGTGAGCCAGATGCCTAGAGATGGTGGGTTTCTAAGTTCTAGACCCTGTAACACCAATGTGGGAGAAAGGCCACTGAGCTGGTTTTACATACATGCCAGGAGGAAAGAGCAGGCTGAGGATGTTCCTCCCCAGAGCTGGTTCTGTCTGGAAATCAGATGGGCCCCTGAGTGAGCTCATGTGGACGTCCTTTTCCAGGGCTGAGGTTGAGTGTGTGGTTTTAACTCAAAGCATGTCTGAGGCATCCAGTCACCATGACCTCAAGCTGTGTGTGCAAAACACAGCAGAATAACAAAAAGTAAGTTGTTCTCGCCTCCCAAGGGCTGCTTTTGTTCTCCTAAGAAGTAATTCTGCAGAAATAATTTGGAGGTTGAAAGAATGCAAGTATCTCCAGGTGTGGCTGGAGAGAGCTCCTCCCCAGCAGAGGCCCTCTGGGCTTTGAGCTGGGCCCTCACAGAGCCTCTGTGTCTGAGCTGCTTGGAGATCAGCAAGCAGAGGTGCAGGGTTTGGGTTTCATTCTGGAGAACAGACCTCTCCAAACCTAAAGGAGACAATATCCTATTTCAAAATTAGCGGCTAAGAGTTTGGGAGGGAGGTCATTGATAGAGCACTTGCCCAGCACGTGAAGGCCCTGGTCTTAACCTCAGCAGTGCAGTCAGTCAGTCAGTCAGTCAGTCAACCAACCAATCAGCCAATCAGCGGATTGAAGTGCCCAGGCAACTTGATGACCTGAATTTTCTGAAACCTCTCTCTGCCTCTCTCCGTGGCTAGGCTGGGAATCGTCAGGCTGTGCAGCCAGCCAGCCACTGTGGGTGTGGTTCTAACTGTTCCAATCTCCTCACTTGGCAGCTGATCGACGTTTTCTTCTTCCTGTTCCTCTTTGCTGTGTGGATGGTGGCCTTCGGAGTGGCCAGACAGGGGATCCTTAGGCAAAATGAGCAGCGCTGGAGATGGATCTTCCGCTCTGTCATCTATGAGCCATACCTGGCCATGTTTGGCCAGGTGCCCAGTGATGTGGATGGTAAGCCGGGTTCTGCTTGGGCAGAGGTGGACCAGGCTCACATCCTGAATCCATCCCTGATCCTTTTGCCTTTTTTCTTTGCTCTTAAATAAGATCTTACCTTGTTCCCATTTCGCTCTTTAAGTCTTTTTATTTTTGAGACAAGTTCTGTAGCCCAGGCTACCCTTGAATTCCACATTTTCAAGGATCACCTTGAATTCCCAATCCTCCTTATAAGATTATAAGCATGTGCCACCATGCCTGGCTAATGTGGCGCTGGGAGTTGAACACAGGACTTTCTGCACATTAAGCAAATGCTCTACCAACTGAGCCACACCCCAAGTTTTGTTAAATGTGCCATTTCTCAATCGCAGTGGTGCTCCCAGGGCAGGATGGGTCAGTCTTTGCTGGTTCCGACAGGGGTGTTGTGAGCTGTACTTCCCTACATGTCACAATGTCCCGTTTCTCCTAAAAGAGCATGTGGGAGGTTGTTGCTGGAACCTTTGGTTGCAGCCTCCATCATTAGCCCACTGCCCAGCAGGCTGTGATGGGAGGACCCGTGGTGGCTCTATTGTGCCCACACGTAGGCTGTAAAAGTCAGGTATGCAGCATAAGCAAACTCGCGTTTGGGGTGGAGCATGTGAAGGGACTTCATGATGTTGACGTAGCCTGTGCTTTTTGTCTCCCGTCCTGCCAGCATGAGCTACACTGACTGACAGTTTCCTTGAGCCAGGGCTGGGCTTGTCAGGTGGCATTTCTCAGTCCCTGTGATTTTCTCTCCACCAGTCTCTGCCCCTCAGCTCATAGGAACAGGTCTTTTCCATCCAGGGGAAGAGAAGTCCTTGGGACCCTCTAGTTGGCATTGTGATACAGTTTGTCTTGAGGACAGCTATTCACGCTGGTAGGTTGAGTCCCCCAGAGGAGCAGTGCTTGGGAAGGGGATGGGCAGGAAGCGAGATGGGGGTGAGTGGCAGGCAAAGCAGGCTGGGAGGAAGGTGTGCTGCGCGTACATTTCATTCTGAGATTTTTCACATGCTGACTGGTATAGCACCATCTTCCTGTAGGGCATGCCCCCAATGTCAGCGCTGAGAGCAGGGGCTCTGGCTGGGTGCCTCTCTTCAGAGCCTTCCCTGAACTCATAGGGATCCATCTTCACTCGTTCTCTCTTGTAGACTGGGGTTTCCTCCAGGGGCTGTGCTGGGCTCTTCCCACCAAGGCCACAGAGACATGCGTCAGAGCCCTTTTGTGACCCTCCACCACAGTGGTGGGGACCAAACAGAGCTATATCCCATGATATAGTGAGCTATATATCCCTTGTCCACATCATGTCAGACATCTGATGTCCTTCACAGACCTGTGGTACTTCCACAGGTTGCTGTGACAAAACACCCAACAGACACAAATTAAGGAGGAAAAGATTTATTTTGGCTCACAGTTCAAAGGTTCACAGTCCACCACGGTGGGAAGGCATGGTGGCAGGAGAGTGAGGCAGCTGGGCTCCTTGGCACATCCTCGATCAAGAAGCGCAGCGGTGGTGGGGGTGGATGCCTATGATCAGTGGACTTTCTCCTTTTTATTCTGTCCAGGACCCCAGCCCATACTAAAGGTTAAACATCTCGGGAACACTTTCATGGACATGCTCAGAGTCATGTCTTCTAGATGACTCCAAATCCCACCAAGCTGGCAACCAAGAATAACCCACGATGCTTGCTCTGCTCCTGCCCCTAGATGCTAGTGCTCATCTGGTTTGCTTGACTTTGCAATCCCAGGACTTCCCAGGCAGAATATTCTTATTGCCAGTGCTCTGGCATCTACTCACGCTCTCTTTGTGTCCTTCTCTGGACCCTTTAGATGGATATACTCAGCCACGGAAGTCCTTTGGATGAGATTTGCTTTCTGTTACAATCCTCTAACAGCGCCCCATGGCTTTCATTATGAACAGAGAGATCCAGCAATGCAGCACTGCCCAGTTTACTCTCTCAGCCCACCTTCTTACTACCACAGGGCCTTAGCAGGTGCTGGTGCTCCTGCTTTGGGCGTGTGTCCCTTCCCATCATTCCTTCAGCACTACAGAGAAATGATGCTTGCTAGCTATCTCACTGGCGAATGCTTACCTAGCCTTCTAATACATCCTGGGTTTTACCCTACCCTTTTTACATCTGCCTAGACATGACACTTCCCATAGTGGGCTGGACCCTCCCACTTCAATCATCATTCGAGACCAACTCTCACAGGCATGGCCACACTGTTCTTGGCAACTCCTCCATTAAGACTCCCTCAGATGACTCTAGGCTTTGTCAAGTTGACAGATGAAGCTAATGAAGATACCCTGTTTCTTTGATCTTGATCTTAATAAAGTCTCTATTTCCCATTGGCTGCTCATCTCAATGAAGTCCCTAATGATTGTACCCAAGATGACTCTGACCCCACATCCCCTTGCCTACCATGGTCCTTGCTTTTCCAAAGGAGCCTCACTGACCTCTTGGTTCTGTGCCCACAGGTACCACATATGACTTTTCCCACTGCACCTTCTCTGGAAATGAGTCCAAGCCACTGTGTGTGGAGCTGGACGAGCACAACCTGCCCCGATTCCCCGAGTGGATCACCATCCCGCTGGTGTGCATCTACATGCTCTCCACCAACATCCTGCTGGTCAACCTCCTGGTTGCCATGTTTGGGTATGTCTGCATCGCACACTCATGGGCTTCCACTTTGGGTTGTCCGTTTGCCAGGCGAGCAGGAAGACTGTGGGCAGAGGTAAGATCTACCTTGAAGAGCTGAGAGTAGAGGCTACTGGGAGCCTGGTGGTCTGCAGTGGTTGGGGGACTTAACGGGACCATGTTAAAAGAAAAACAGGTTACTCTATAGGCCATTTTTTGGCTGATTTGACACCACAGAAAAGCAATATGACCAGCTTCATTGACTCCAGGCTGTGTTCATCATCGTCTCATAGTTCTCCAGAGAGCAACTTAACTAACTGATTTTCCTATTGCTGTAACAAAACACCTAACAATGGCAATGAGTGGAAGCATGACCTTATTTTGGCTTGTAGTTGTTAGGTATAGTCTGTGGTGGGGAGTCATGGGAGTGGGGTGGGTCACGTTGTGTCTACAGTCAGGAAGCAGAGAGAGGTGAATACTGCTGCTATTCTTACCTTTTCCTTTCCCCTTTTTTTTATCCAGCCAAGCGCCCCAACCCTGAATTAGTCCCGCCCATGTTCAGAGTGGGTCTCCTCCCTCCATGTTAAGTCTCCCTGTAAACCCAGTCATAGACCCTCCTAGAAGTGTATCTCCTAGGTGATTCCAAAGCTAGTCAAGTTGACTGTGTTAGCATGATGGCAGCAGTGCAAATCCCATCACCCCTGAGGTTCCTCATGTTTTTTTTTTGTTTTGTTTTAAGTAAGACAAACTTAAGCATAGCAACACACAACACCTCAGATGTGTAACCCAAAGGTCAAAGGTTTTGGGAGCTTTGTATATCTTAAACTTGAAAGGTGTAGATAATGTAGATACCAAAGGTTGCTCCTGGCACAATTTGGCTTTAGCCTCTCTACCGGGAGATACTTCCAAAGTTACTCACGGGGCCTCTGGCACAGGCTTGCTTCCATGGGTTTGCAGAGCTTCATTTTGCCCAAGCCCCAGTTCGAAGATGCACAGTCCACCACGGTGGGAAGGCATGGTGGCAGGAGAGTGAGGCAGCTGGGCTCCTTGGCACATCCTCGATCAAGAAGCGGGGGGGGGGTGTGTGTGTGTGTGTGTGGATGCCTATGATCAGTGGACTTTCTCCTTTTTATTTGGTCCAGGACCCCAGCCCATACTAAAGGTTAAACATTGTTTAACTCACTGTTCAACTGCAGTGAGTTTCTCACTTTCAAATACTTTCTCAGAAGAATGAAAGATACTTGAAGTGACATCTAGAACAACCAATGATTCTTAGTTTCTAGGTGTGAGGAGATACATTGATGGTTCCCTTGGGTCACAATGAATGAGACAGATAACAGTTCCACAATTTACGTGTTTGGTCACAACCCATACCGCTGTTGTAATTTTAAATTTGCCTTTGAGTGGCCATGAAAGATGGGGCTAATCCGTGATTTGCAGACTGCTGGTCTGGTTCTGCTGGCCAGTTATGACGCAGTTTCTTTCCAAATTGTTAGCTTTTCTGAATCGATTGCATTGATCCATTTGTTTCAAGAATAATGTTTCTTATGGCTCTTAGTGTAAAGACACCACAGCCAGTTCATTACCTTCTAGAATATTCTCAAGAAGAGACATAAGTATTTGCACAACCATTTTAGTGCATGCCTTTGGGTCATTTGAAAGGTAGGAAATAGCCAATTAGCTCTCTGCTAATGCTTCCAAATGATTGTGATATTGGAGACAGATAAATTAGGAAGACTTAGCTCTATGGCATCTAACATAGTTGTAATTTTTTTGTGAAAAAAAAAATCAGATCTTAGAAGATGTCAAGGAAATGTTCCCTAAGCAACCGCATGCTAAATCGACATTGGGAGCCACGCAAAGAGCCAACACTGAGTTAATGGCACTACGCTAGCTAACAGAGTCTCAGAAAACTAACCTGTCTCCTACAGTGTTTCTAAGACTACACACGGCCTGTCCGTTGCTGTGAGCATGAGCAGCTGTCAACAGAGCCCTGGACAGCTCAGGGGAAGACCGATCACCAAGTAAAGCTGCAGAAGTTGTGGTTCAAACGTGAAGTTTCCTCCATGAGCCAATGTATTTGAACACTCGGTCCCAGATGGTAGTGCAGTTTTGGGAAGCTGTGGGACATTTAGTAAGAAAGACCAGGCTGAAAGAAGTCAGTTCCTGGGGGCAGGTCTCAGCTCTGCCTCTGGTGCCAGTGTTTCTCTCTCCCTTCCTCATACCTTCTCTCCTACATCCCCTTTTTCTCGTTTATCTGAGATGTAAGGATCACCAATGCCCCAGCTGTTGCAGCTGCTAGCTGTTCACACTGCCATGCCTTTCCTCCCATGACGATCTGGACTGTGTCCCTTCAAACCACTAGTCAGAGTGAACCTTCCCTCACTGAACTTGCTTCTTGTCAGATCACAGGGATTAGAACAAGGGCCAACAGTAGCTGGGGCCACAGCATTGAGTTCACAGAGGTCTGGGGATCTTTGTGCTATGAGCTGTCATGGCGGCCACCTGGCATGGAAGGAATTCATCAGTCTTACCACCCGTCATCTGTACTCTGCTCAGGAAATGAGGGAACCAGAGCTGTATTGGAACTTTATGGCTAAAAGGCTACAGGTAATGAAGGTCTGCATCTGTGTTCATGGCTGTGTGTGTGTGTTCAGCTCACCTCAGTATCTTCCTGGAGGACTCATTGCAGGCCACACAGCCACCACCTCACTCAAGGTTTCCATGTGATTGTTCTTGTCACCTTCGCCTGGGGCACCTCTTCCAGCGTCCCTGGCTTGCCTTCTTTTCAGTGACCCCTGGCTGGAGGTCTGAGGGCAGCAGAGGCCCTGCTGTGAACGGTGAACAAGTTCTTCACGTGCCATTTCTGATGAGTGCTGAGCTGTCCAGAAATCGCTGCCCGAGCAAATGCCCCCAGGATGTCACCCCTGTGTGACACCACATCACAGTGTTTAGTGTAAAGCTCATGTACCTACAATGGTGGCCTCTTAGCTGCACTGCGAATGTGTTCATTGGTCCTTGAGCATGAGGGGGATGTAAAGGTAACCTTAGGTAATTGTTGTCTCTGAGGCTTACAGCCTTTAGCTGCTAACTTAGTCCTATTCCAGAAAGCTTCTAGCCTCCGTACAATCTTATCTAGGCCTAGAATATTTTCAGCCTTTGAGACTTAGTGCTGCATAAACTCACCCTTTCTAGTTCTTTCTGAGCTCTGGATGGCTTGTTCAACTCAGCTGTTCTGGCTTAAACTCCTCTCCAAGCTGATTGATTCAACCTGGCTTCTCTCACTTCTGACTGAATTGTTCTGCTTGTCCTCAAACTAACTCCAGCAATCTGTTCTAATCTTCTGGTTCCTTTTCATTCTCTGGCTCATTATGTCTCCACCTGTGTCTAGCTTGTTCTTTCATTCAACCTCTCTCTAGAAAACTCTCCTGGTAAAACTGCCTGCCCCCGCCCCTCTCCATTCCCCCTTAAGTAGCTTTTTTTCTCTCGATCTCTTCTCATGAGAGTTGAGTGTATCCTATTCTGTCAAATATTCTCTGATTTGTCACTTTTTTCCCCTGCCACTCAGTTAGACATCACTTTCAAATATGGGTGCTTCCTTCTACAAACTAACTACCTTCATTGTTTAGAATTAAAGGCATATACCACCATACAATTATTTTCTTTTGTCAGTGGCATTTTTTTCAGATCTCTGATTTGTTTCAAAGCCCTCTTCACTCTTTCCTATCCCTCATTTTGAAAACAGTGCACTTAGCTGTTATTACCTTTTTTTTTTAAGCTTCCCATTCAATTGCTAAACAGATATTATTCTGGTCTGAACTGACACCCAATAATATGCCTGGTTATGCTTAAGATGTACTGTTGGGGCACACATATACGATGTGAAACAATGAAACAACAGGTAGCATCTTTATCCCCTCAGACTGCTGTCATCTCCCTGTGCTGGAAGCTCTGGGCTCCTCTGGTTATTTTTTTATAAAGATTGGTTTTATTTTAAACAATGTTTATGTGTACGTGTCTGGTGGTGGAGTGGAGCACATGCGTATGAATGCAGGTGACCACAGAGGCCAGAAGAGGGTGTCTATTCCTTAGAGCTGGAGTTATAGGCAGTAATGAGCTGCCCAACATGGATGATGGGAAGCCACCTTAGGTCCTCTCTAAGAGCAGTGTATGCTTTTACACACCAAGCCCTCTCTTCGAAAGGGGACTAGGAGACAACAAACATTTCGATAAACATGCTGGGTAGACCCAGAGCTCAGGAGCCAGGGCTAGCCTGGCTAGCCTAGGCACAGAAGCAGTTCTAATTAGACATTACACTGGTGTACCTGGGGAGGAAGGGCCGTTGGTCCTCAATGACACCCTGAAGGAGCCACTTGGGTAAAAGTACAGCTGAGAGATGGAGAGGTGGCTCAGCATTGAAGAGCACTTACTGCTCTCACAGAGGACCAAGGTTCAGGTCCTGTCATCCACATGGTGACTCAGACATGTCTGTAACTCCAGTTCTTGGGAATCTAACACCCTCTTCCACTGGAGGCTCCTGCACACACGTACACAGAAACTCATGCAGGCTCACGTACATATACTTGAGATAAAAATAAATAAATCTTTGAATAAATGGAACCTGTCTGAGAAGTCTATTCAGATGTTAATTATACTAAAACCTGCTGTTGTTTTCACATCCATTTTTTTCTTTATAAGTTTTTGGACTGTACATTCTGATTTGATTGCTCTTTCTATTTTGGTTTTTACTACCAAATGGTTTTCATTACTGAAGGTTTTTTTTTAAGTCATTAAAACATCTGTTGTACAATCTGCCCTTAGTATTCTTACTCAAAACTTTCCTGACTTTTCATGTATACTTAATTGTATAAAGGGCTCATTTTGAGAGTTTTTTTTTCTTCTCTCTTCTTTTGAAAAAAATTTCATAAGCTTTTGTGAAGAAATTGGATTCATAATCTCTACAAACAGTGGCATATTTGCAGTATTGAGTTATCTGTAGTTACCAGTAAACTTCTGTG